CCGGAAAAATAGTTCGCTGATTTCTCGGGGTCCGCTTGCAGATATTTGGAAGATTTTTAGCGAAATTTTAGACGAATGCTTGGAGAACAATCGCGGTTTCCTTATAGATTAGCTGCGGCGCAATGGAAGCATTCTCGCGGACTTTCCGCGAGAATATGCAAATTTTTCGAGGGCCGCACGGTCTTTTGTGGAGGACCGCGCAGCCCCCAGGTACTTTCCGCTGGGAGAAAGTACCTCAAACTTGAGTAATTAAACCATCGATGACACCTCTGCCATGTAGAGTCTCACCTTTGCTCGGCATACGCCCGAAACTGCTTAGAAACCGTTCGAGCGCCAGCTGAAAATTTGACCAGCGCTCGCTGAAAGAGATTGTTTGACGAGCGCCTGCAGAAAATTCTGTGTTGCAGCCCGCTGGCAGAACATTAGACAGTAAAGGAAGTGCCGCCCGCTGAAGGTTTGGCCACGCCCCAAAATTCTGCTGACCGCCTGCAGAAAAGCGCGAGTTTGCGGACCGCCTGCCCCCGGCGATTATCTGAGCAGGCGCCAGACTTATTCGGTTCAATCGGTTCATGCGTTTCAATGTTTCGCTATTGGTGAGATCACTGAACCAATAGCGAACATGTGAACCGCTTGCGCCGGCTAAGGGCCGCATACATCAATATTGCCGAGAGGGAGTCGCAACGTTTCGGACCGCGAAATCGCACGCGGCGAAAAACAGTGTACTATCAGCCCTTAGCCAACAAATGGACCTTAGTTCGTAGACTGTGGACTACAATCTGTTATCAGCATGTCAAATAAGCTCCGTACCCAAAGTTCTGAGTGAATTCGAAGTGTTTGAAATTTATCGCTTGAGATGGACTTTTGTGCTTTCTTGATAGGATCAAGAACTCAGGTTTCTAAAAGTATTCTAAAGTATCTGTGTTGTACACGACAAACCATTATTGAGATACGGTTTTTTCTAAATCGAAGCAAGAGAAAGTCACGATTTCGTACGCGCCGTTCGCGTTGCCGCACTTCGTTGCAGCTGCTGTTCGACTTGTCCTCATATTTTCTAAACAGATATCGGCGGCACAGCTTTACAGAGCCATTAAAAAAGTAGGTACTTAGGCCTTTGACTTGATAACCTTAAACTAAAAGAAAACCTCCTGTAAACGTCAAAAAGATCCTTCAAAGCAACGTGCTGCACCTTGTGCAGTACCGGTCCGAAACGTGTTAGAAGAAAGCTTCATATCCTGAAGTTTCAGATATGTGGATTTCACTGCCTCTAAGTATTTCTACTATCCTTCACTATGAACATATGGAATAGGAGAAAAGGTGTACTAGCCGCATTTCCCTGCTTTTTATATGATCCCCTGATGATCCCCGGCGGCCGACCGTCTTTTCTTCGAAGTCATTTTTCTTTCTTCTAAGTCAACGAAGCATTCCAAAGTTGTACCAATTATCTAACCCAACAGACCTAAGCATGTTGCTGATAAGAACAAATGATATTTTATAATCATGGAATTTGCGATCTACAAATCGAAAGTTGGGAATTATCGAAAAATTCGATATTTCAAAAACTTATCTGTTCTTATCAGCAACACGCTTGGCACTGTTGGGTTAGACGAACAGCAGTCTAATATGTTGTTTAATATGTTCATAGTAAAGGATGGTGGGAATACCTAAGGATAGGCTATACGGCGTGATCCAGATATCTAGAGCTCCAGGTTATGAAGCTTTTTTAACACGTTGACGACCAAGCCATTTTGGACCACATCAAGATGGACTAAATGTTCAAATCTGAGTGTTACACTCCTGAGCAGCTACCGCGATGCCCAGTGACAGTGTGTGACAATCAGGCCACCAGCATTATTACCGCATAGAGGTTACTTTAGAACCTTTCGTTTACACATAAATTCTGAAGCATAGAAGTGTCAAACGAGAGTCAGGGCGTGCATACGCGCGTATGCACACGGTCGTCAACGTGTTAGAGCTGCGATCCCTTCCCCGACGGGGGATCGGGGGAGCATGGATCTTACCCCCTCACGTTTGAGCCAGGCCTGGATGGCCCCCTTCACTTGAGGCGAAAGTAATTTGAAGGTGAATCATGATCAAAAAGCTGTTTGAGATTCAGCACCTCAGTCGTGAAACACAACACTACAAAAAATTTCTATCCATTACAATAAGAATTACAGTAGTTGTTTCTCGCATTATTTCAAAGGCGTCTACAATAGATACTGTAGTATAAAAAATAACTAAATTTGGAAAGTATAAATAACTTGGAAATATAAACACTCCAAAAAGGAATATAAGAACTAAAAAACATTTAAATTTTTTCTCGAGGACCTCAATGGTTGATGCTTGTTGCTTATAGAAACCAAAAGTCTTACTGAAGATTGCAAGAGCAGCTCAGTGCGATATGCAGTGATTTCTGTAAGAAATGATTACATTAGTAGAACTACGTTGTCCATAAAATAAAACAGAAATAAATGCATTTTTTGTGAGCCAAAGCGAATCAGTAGATATATCGGTGAATCCTTCATATCTTATTGCTAAGAAGAGTTAGAAAAAAGTCGGCAGTGTCATTCGATTTTCCGTGACCTCAGTTTTCGAATGGAGCTTAGTAGGGTTCGCTTCCAAGGCTCACTTACCCGCATCAACATACAAGGATGGGAGTAGCCGCGACTTCCTTAACTTAGAAAGGGCCCAGCCCCACCTATTGCAACCTATGCTATCGAGTCATCGGCCACACGAACAGGCGAGATTGCGAAGCACGCGCCGCTCGGCCAACGTTTGTGCCAGTACAAATCGCTTCTGTGTAAGTCGTACTCTCAAGAAATTTTGCTGCGCCGTGTGCTCCGCAATATACACCAATATTGGGGTTGACGACTCGACGTCACGTACTGAAGTGTATCGTCCACTCCACGATTGATGCCATACCATGCGTCTGTGTCTTTGACCCGCAACAAGCACGGTTGAATTTGGCAACATGCAACAACATGTTAGCAACAACAAACATTGTTGTTACTTTTTGCCGTATGTCAGCCAGCTTCTCGCAGGTTAAAGGCGCAGGCAACGATATTTGCCTGGACAATAGGAATGCTTGCTCTCTTGCTTGTTCTTCATTCTCCAGTGTTTCCTCTTCCGGTAACATAATGCTCCAAATTAAAGATTTCATTTATTTTTCTCGGAAGCATCGAAACGTTTGCGTTGAGCAACGTCCGACAAACTTGTGACGCGATTTCCCAAATGCTACCGCTGGACGAAGAGACCTGGAGGAACGAAAGCGGTTCTCTCAAAGGCAGCGTCGAGGCAAATCTTTACATATGGGATTTCACATGGGTAGTAATTTTGGGGACTTAACTAAGACACTGCCAAGCTTCAGCTTAGATGATGCTCTCACGGCTGAGATGTTCGACTTCAAACTGGACCTCAGGATCGTAATAACGGACGACTGCCTCAACAATCATCAATTTCGCGTGGTCCCGTCGCGACAGCATGCGAAAGCGATGAGTCGTCCGATGATAGTTAATACGATCACGGGGTCCACTTTGGAGGCGAATATCTTAGCCGTGAGCGAAGCCTTCACGCTGCCGCTTGGGCAATGTCTTGGTTAGGGCCCCAAAATTACTTCCCATGTGAAATCCCCGTAGGCCAGATTTGCCTGGACGCTGCCTTTGAGCGCATGCCGTACTGTCCGTCCCACAACAGCCCAAAATTGGCATGGGGAGAGCTGTCGCGAGGACATGTGCCACGTTTGCGGATGGCTTGTCTTCTCTCTCCTCAATCACCTTGCTATCTCCGACAGCGCGCATATGTAGCGCAAACCTCTAGCGCTGCGAACGCGCATATTTGAGCCAACGTTTTGGCCAGATCCCGATTGGGACAGACTGCACTTGGTCCACTTGGTCTGCTTACTTCATCTGCTATTGATCCGTTCACTGACTGAACCATTGCAATAGCGGAGTGATCAAGTGTGTGAGGTTCAACTCCGTTTAGGCGCAGGTTGGATTGGTGGGCTTCCGCCTCGCAACCGTTCTCCCCTTACGCAGCTACAGTAATATCGTGCCAAGAACCCATGTCTCTTAATTCTCCTCTGTCTTTGCTTTGCAAACTGCCAGCGCTGTGTGCTCGGGAAGACTACAGCGCTGCACACGCTCTGCTCGTGAAATGTTCCGCCTACTCCGGGATAAAACAGACTGTATCAAGAGGATTAAGCGTGGCTGCAGAGCGCATGAGGCGCAGGGTTTACAACAGGGAACTTACACGCGTGGCGGTCGCGCCGGTTCAACTGACAAGCTTTGCGCCTTCTTGCGACAATAGCCTTTAAGCCTTTTGTTTATGTCTCAGCATCCAGCTATGATATATGCTATAATAAGTCAAAGGAGCGCAGCAAATTTAAGATACTGCTATATAATACGCAATTCTGCAACGCTGTATGATCCTGGGACGACTATCTCTGTTTTCCTTTCTGCTGTGTAGACGAATCTTTCAAACAGTATCCGACTGCTTACTTGTTCCCGTGGCTCATCGGATGGTTTTTTCAAGCTTTCCTTCGTTTTCTTTGCTATAAATCAAGCAGCTGTTGTTTTGCATACTGTTACAGCTGTTACAACAGGCCTGTGTTATTTTTCGTCGTTCTGCTCCGCTGCAATTATTGTCGAGTTTTGAGCACTGTAATGTTGAGAATCGACTGCGGATTCATCGATTCGTAATTTGTGCTCGACAGCGAAGCGTTGCGCCGGCCACCAAAGGGTGCATCGTGTAACATCGTGAAATCCTAGACATTTTTACCAACGTTGCTGTCATCGTACTTCTTTTCTTTTGTCTTTCTTAGCTAACTGGAACCAGTATTTCGATGCTTCTTTTTATGTACGTATATTGCACATATATTGTCAGAAAGTTATGTTTCCATTCGTAATCTTTGGGAAAATCTCTAACCTTTCTTTTTTTGTATTTGCAAGTTTCGTACCATGTAAAAACTTCATTAATATCTTGGATTTGAATCAACAGCGTTTCTTAGGTGATGGACCGCCGTCCTTCGGATTTTCCGCTGCTTCGTAGCAGTCCACATCCTGACTTCGAGCCGTCTGCACCGAGGTACGTCAGAGCTATTTTCTGACTGGCGCAGAATCATTATAACTCTAAATGCTTGAATTAAACAGGCATAAAGGCAATGAACATCAAAATATGTTTCATTTCCTCTACCAGGTGCGGTAGCCTTTTGCTGGAGGACAGTCTCGCTTCTCTTTGAAGCAGCTTTCTATGTGCTGCTTCATAGCCTATTATTTTAGCCTCCAGTCCAGCTTTTCCAAGGGTCTCCTGTCTCGTTACAATTTGGATGCTAAACTTATAATGCTATAACTACGCTCATAAGGTTTTAGCAAGTAAAAACTCATCAACGTTCGCTTGCTTTAGTTATTGCCATCTAAAACGTAAGAAACGTTGCAACTACTGCAACTTTCCTGTCATTTTCAACTTTGTGAATGACTGCATTGCGACTAGTGCTTCTTCCTCTATATATATCTTCATTCAGTCCGGAATCGGTAGCTGCTTCGCCAATGCTGATCTCCTCTAGAACCTCGGAATGCGGTGATCCTCCCATAGAGAGTGATGAGGTAAGTGAGGTTAGCTAGTTTACATTATTTATTTTGACCTTTATTCCCTTTATTTTTTTCCTCTTAGTTTTATGGTTATGCTTCCAACAAGGTTCAGCTTGAGATGTGTGTTGCTCTGCACAGATTCTAACGGTAACAAGCACTTACTGGTAACTCGCGCTAATGTTACTTACAAATACATAAATTTGGATAAAGTGTTTGTTCCACCAGTGTGTTTCGAAGCTCTGTCGCCAATGCGTTATGCAGCGCAACAGTACGTGTGATTGCGTGTATCAATAAGCGTATTGGCTAGCCAGTGCTTGCTATCAATGACAGCCGAAAAACATCCTCCGCGGCATCAGAACCAGCTGGTTTTGTACTTGTCGTTCGTTGGAACTCACATAAAAACCCCTTCGCTGGCGCGCCATTTGCGAGATCTCAGGCAAATCAAGCAAATATCGCATACTTTCATTAGTTGGATTGGAAAATAGACATGATGGAGTAGAATCTCAGCTATAGATTTCTGCAATGTCTTTGCTTGGATTGGTTGTACATGCTAAGCGCTCAGATAATATATCATGATGTTGTCAGATGCCTACATCTTCCTCATCACATGCACTATGTTGTTGTTTTTTTGATGTTGAAGTAGAGCATCGGTTGGGGTCTACAAACTTGTCGGTTTCAAGGGATACGGCATATCGGACAGCGGTGAAACAAGCCGCCGTTCGACTATCAGCAGGATGGACATGGTTGAACTTAGCCGTGATCTCGAGGTGAAAAATAAGTATCCGGAGCTGTACCAAATGATCATTGTAAGTCAGTTTATAAAACCCACTCTTTTGAAATGTGAAGCTCGTTACAGGCCCAACGACGAATTGGCTCGACGGAAAATCGCGATTCTGCTGCCACTGTCCACGGTCGTGACGGTTCCAAAGATGATGATTCGAAACAGCTTTTGTATGCTGAAGCCGTGGAACTATTGAAGAGATGTCGCAGACAAGAGGCAATTTAGCTATGACATGTGTTCGTTTGCTGTGAAATGATACTTCAGCGTCAACTAAGAGAGATGCAAAAGAATTACGACAATCTGCTTAGCGTTAACAAGCAGATCAAGGAAACTTACGTGAAGATATACGCTAAGGCAGAGCAGGAAGAAGAATACATTTCTAATATATTGCTGAAACGGTACGTAACGAACATGAATTCCCTCACTTTGCTCATATCAAGTTTCGGTCAATCCTATCTTGCTTACTTCGCGGCGCAGCTCTTTGACATCACTGTCTGTCTTATGGGTGTTGTTTGTCTTCATAACTGCTCATGACTTTATGCGAAACAGCAGCTCTCTCTTTTTGAATCTGACCTAAAATCTGTTTTGTTTGAGTGAATTCTAGCCGTTTTATAGGATTCAGAAGCTCAAAAATGACAAGGAACATCTGGCACAGAAATACGAGCAGGAGGAGGAATTTCTCACTAATGATCTGATGAGGAAAATAAAGCAGGTATCCGTCTTTTTGTTTCTTCCCATTGTGGTTTTCCTCTATTTATGAACGTAATTGTCAGATTGAAATGAAGTCACTTGGGATGTGCATGACATTGAACACGTCGCTTGCTCTCATATTGATATAACCTTTTAGTCGTTTTGAATGAAAAAGTGAAATATGGCTAGTGAGAATATCAATGAGTGGTTAGTGGGAGTACAACGGCTGAAGCGTATGAGCTTGCTGCGTTCCTGCCATTTCGACGTAGAGATGATTTTTTTTATTATGCGCATGATCATACTCGGGGCTGTGGCAGGGGCATGAGGGGTACGAAGGACACAACCAGAAGATACTTGGTATCTTTATAGGATTTGCAATGCTGTTTTTGCTATTACAAATGTAGCAGTTAAACATCTCTTTCATTTATTCATCAATGGTGTGTTAGATCTCGCAATTCTTCTCCATTCTGTGACTGATGGCTTTCAGTTGCAATCCGAGCGTGACATCCTGGAGGGCAACGTCAAAAGCGAGCAAGCTAGTGTGATCGACAGTCTGCTCACCACCATCCGTCGCATGGAAAGTGAGATGGCTGCAGGACGGAAAGTGGGTATTTCATTTTTTCCGTCTTTTTGTCTTGGTTTTTCCATACTTTTTACGTTGCATTATGCGCACGTCATCAGTAGCAGAGCTAGCGGTTTGCTTTGTAAACATGGATTTTTTTTGCATCTGTGATTTGGCCTGCACAAACGATTTGATCGTCTTGAGCAATTTGATGCTGTTGTTGTTTTTTCCATGATCAGAATTTTTCTGACTATTCAAGTAAATGAGGTATTCGGTATGACATGACTACCGGATACTTATCGTGGTTAGATCAGCGTTTACACGTACAAGTTTGCTGTGAAATTTGTCTGTATTTTTCAGAATATGGATCGAATGCGTAAAGAAAAAATTGATCAGGAAAATGCGCTCGAGAATGAGCAGGAATTGTTGTTCAATACTTTGGGAAAACAAATGGACCAGCTCAATCAGGAGAAAAGGTAAGTGATTACGCATCATATGTGCTAGCACATCTGCTCCGTTGCTACAAATTTCTTCGTTAAATGTTCTTCCATAATTAACAGAAAAATGCAAGCGAGCCTACAGAAAGCCTATCTGAATGGTTTCATCGAGCCTGATGATGAAGTTGTTGGCGCTCTTATCAATCAGAGGTAAGTGACAGTGGTAACCTCGCTTACTCGTATCACAGTTTGAAAATGGCTTATATTGCGGCATAACGCTCGTAGGAATACACGAACCACAGGCCTCTGTGACTTGGTGAATGCGGTGGCTGTTATATGACATTTTCTTGTGTTACCTTTTGTATTATGTCTACCCTTGTTAGTCTTCTTGTTCACATTACTCATATAACGGAACTCGCTATTTGTTACAAAACTCCAGCGATGCCAACGAAAGTGCGCGTATGGATAGTGGTGGGAATCGAAACGGAACGGAAGTGGCTAGGCTGAGATCGCATCTGAGGCGAGTGGAAATCCAGCTGACGGAAATGAGGGAAAGAGATGCGAACAGTAAGTTTGGCTGTTACTGTAATTATCATGTTCAATCTCAACGAATCCAGAGGCGGCACAAATTCGCCAGTTGGAAGATGTGATTAGCACTTTGCGCAAGGAGAAAAACGAAATGTCAAGGTGGGGCCCGTGCTACATTGTCAATATGCAAAATTCTTTACTTTTTTGCTTTGACGATAATGAAGAACTTTTTCTTTTACCTCAATTATAATTACCCGTCTTTTTTCTTTGACACTTGTTTATTTCTAGTATCTGCTTTTTTTCGTTCATTCCTTTAAGTTTTTGTCAGCATATGAAAGATTTCGAGTCTATTTTAAGGAACATCGAGGTGGCTGTGTCGCGATTTTCGACCAAAATGGATTCAATGACATCATTGATTCGTCCGGATCTTATGGGACCTCCATGCATTCCCCAGCATTCGTCTTCGCGTCACGCTGATGGCAACGGTGAATTTCTGTTGCAAAGAATTGCTTTCGATTTGGCACATATACACGACATTGACATTTTTCATGGTTTGTCGTGATCCACTACAAACGTGATACGAAAATTGTGGGCTAGTGACGTTTAGGTCGTCATTTTTGTGTATAAAGATTTATACATGAAACTGAGGGTAGGTATAACCCGTTTCTAAGAATTCTCTCCATCGGTCCCATGCGATACACACGCGTTGCGCATCTTACTGCCTTTGGTGGCACTGGTTGCTGAGGCATCTCTTCATTTGTTCTTCAAACTCTCTCCTACTATCTTTTTTGTAGCAGCTTTCTTTTATGAAATGAGCTGATAATTTGACAGCCTTTTTCCTTTGCTTGTCCTTTCTGTAAATTCTGCTCTCCATTTTTCATTCTCGCACCCTCGAGCACCTTTTGCTTCAGCCTTATGTTACATAACATAGATTCGCATTCATAGGATGTGAGTCTTCTATCGCTGGCTGAAAATTCGCTCTAAGTAACTCGAACAGTAGTGAGGGAAAAATGTGATTCAGCAAGTTAAACCCTTTAATTACCAGTGGCTTGAAGGCATCATGATGCACATTGCGTGTGCGCTGGGGGAAATTTAAGAGGAGTTCTCGATCGCAGACTATTCATCGCATTTCTTCATAGTCGCTTTATTCAACGGGTCACTGATCGTAGGGTCTTTATGTGTTAAGGCGGTTCACTCCAGCGTCAATCAGCATTTATGAAAATCCAGAACTAAAGACGCATGCATTTACATCCCTGCCGGGGAGGGAACGCAGCTCAAAAGAGAGCTTCATATCTTAAAGCTCCAGATGTCTGGATTTCACGCTGTATACCTATCCGTAACTATATCCACCATCCTTCACCATGAACATATTGAACAAGAGCAAGAAGCTGTACAAGCCGCATTTTCCAGCTTTCAGTATGATCCCTTGATGATCCCCAGCGGCTGACCGTCTTTTCTTTAAGGTTGTATTTCTTTCTTCGAAGTTAACGAAAGCATTCCAAAGTTGTACCGATTATCTAACACAACAGAGCTAAGCATGTTGCTGATAAGAATAAGAACAAATGATGTTTTGGAATCATGAAATTTGCGATGAACTACAAGTTGAAAGTTGAGGTTTATCGAAAAATTCGGTATTTCAAAAACTGATTTGTTCTTATCAGCAGCATGGTTTGCCCTGTTGGGTTAGACGAGCAGTACAACTTTAAAAGGTTTTCGTTAACTTCGAGGAAAGAAAAATGACTTTGAAGAAAAGACGAGCGGCCACCGGGGTCATCAGGGGATCATATAAAAATGTGGAAAATGCGGCTTGTACAACTTCTTGTCCCTGTTGTTTAATATGTTCATAGTGAAGGACGGTGAGAAAACCTACGCATAGGTTAAACGGCTTGAAATCCCGATATCTGGAGCTTCAGGATATGAAGCTTTTCAAACCTGCGATCCCCTCCTCGGCGTTAATGCATGGGGCCCTAAATATAAAAGTTGTCGTATACATCAAACCAGCAGTGAGCCTTGTGGGAACTGGATTCAAGAGCACTGTCGACGTCAAATGACGCAATTTCTGCATCACTGACTAAAAAAACGCAGCGTTTTATTCGATACAGTGCTACATAAGAAATTGGGCAATGCTTTTATTTTCTAAAGATCCGTTTTCAACACTGCCAAAGTCTAAAGATTTCGCCAGAAATCTCACCTTTGGAATTTCCACTTCTTCCATTTCCATCAAGATACCAAAGGCACTGCTGGGTCCAAAACATAGAGGATTGCTGCTCGTGCTCGATTTACGAGTACTGCTTTCGTTTCTTGCATGCATAAACCAGATGGTTTATATGTCGGATTTCAGTTTCTGACATGGATGATAGCAGCTCGCGTGGTTCGTTGTCGCAATCCGATTTCAGCATGACATAGTGAGTTAAACAAATGTTTTCCTTCAAAATTACTCGCAAAACACGGTTTTCAGAATCTGCATCGAGCTCCAGCGTTTATTCTAATAATATGGCTTTATATTGATTTGTGCTCGATTATGCTTCTTGCTCTTCATTTCGTTCTGTCTTCTGTTCTTTCTGCCCATCACTTCAATTAGACATTCCTGAATTGAGTCCAAGTAGTCATGCTTTTGTCCGCAATGTATGTAACTCCTGTTTCTCTCCTGTATGCTCAGCTGCTATTTGCCTACCGACATTTCGCTGGGTCTGCGGTCGTGAATACGCGTTTCTTGTGGGTATTTCACCACAAATTTTCATCTCATCTTCTCGCTTGCGGTGTTAGGGTGCATCGCTGTTTGCTCTTAAAAAGCTGCCCACGTTTCGCGTAATGTCCTGCCGGAATATTCTAGGCCCGTCATAACTGGTTTACGAGAAATATCACCATTTCAAACGGGATTTTATTTTCTGCTTGCTGTAGTGATAGTAGAAATAAATGTGTAAGCTGCCTATACCTAATTCGCGGTAAATCAGTCTCTGTGCTGCGCTCATTGTTGCGGAATAGTTGCTTGCATCGTTCCACTGTTTCAGCCTGGTGTAGTCGATCCCCAAAAGCTTCGCTTTCGCTGCAAATTTTTTATGTACATTAGTGCGTTCACCGGTTACCTTTACTGCGGTATCTGTACCAGTCCGCTTTGAATTTAAATCTTTCCGCGTGGTACCTTTTCTTATGTCCGTACGTGTTCCGTATGAAGTTTACTGTTTACTCATCCAGTCATTTTGCGTGGATTCATATTCTCTCCGGCACATCATCGTTTAAGATTATGTGATCCCAATTGCGGGCTGTATTGAGTTGCAAAATACGGTTTTATTCGTTTTTTACTCCCGTGTGGATGTTGTTTATTTCATGTGGTTATATACTTATTTGAAGTCGCTTTTTGATGTTTTCTTGTCGTTTTCTTTGGTATAAAGTCAGTTGACGTTTAGAAAGTACGTGGTTGGCTTGTGAAAGAAATGTCGGTCGAAGTTGATATGCTTCGTGTATAGGAGAAAATAGAGAATTGTTTGTTATCAACTACTTTGTATGAGTTCTTTTTGAGAGGTTCTCTTCAAGCGTCTGAAGATCGAATACTTCATTCTGAGGAAACCATGGTGATGTGTGGCTGAGTCTGATTCTAGAAGCCAGCAAGTGCATAGTCTTGCTGCTTGGGTCGTCTTCTTCGAGCAGCTCAAAATCTCTAGTAATCACTCGAACTAACAATAAGTGACAAGGGTCATTGGTTCATGGATGGATCCTGAAAGAGTACGATGTGTAAGTTGAGAAAGTAGAACGCGACCGATTTCACTATAACGGTGGTGGTGTCTAAGCGATCGTAAAACACAATCGAGAACGATTTCGTAAGATAATCTACTTTACAATCAGATGAGTGTTGACAGATCGACGAACAGGTTCTGTTATTAATTTCACCACTCTTCTATTCTAGAACAACAATAAGGCCAAGAAGTATATGAATATATATACAAGGTTCGGGTGAGATCTCATCCGTTTACGCGAAACAACCCGGATATTTTCAAATTTAGCTACTGTTCACATTGATACTGTGATATCCGATAGTCATGAATGGCTTCCTTACTGTAAATTTATGTTTTTACCTATTTATTCTGGTGAAATGCCGCTAACCTCGAGCAAAATGGCATTGAGACGATTTGCATCATTGTGTTGACCTTCTTTGTTAAACGTCGCCAGACTCAAATACTGCGTAAAGAATCGAAATGCGGATTTCGAAATCATGCAACAACTACTGATAACACGTGGCCAGTTTTTTACATACTTTACAGTATTCTTGGCTGTCTCGAAAGAAGTGAAAAGGGTATGATTGAGTGATACGATTTCATTCTCTACACACTGCCGAAAGAATCTTTCATCGTTTCACCCCATAGCATTCATGTAGACCTAGACACGCTTGAGCAAAACGTGAATTTTTGAAAGATGAGTAAATTCTACGTGCAGATGAAAGCACTGTTTACATTCCGAGGTCTGGAGAACACATGCGTTCTCGTGTTGCATCAGGAGAGTGTCGTACTTGGTAAAAAAAAAGGATGTGTTATTGTGCACAGTACACAATAGCTTCAGAAATATTGACTGCTGATCAATAGCTAATTGCATCTATTCAAATCTCGAATCAATACAGGTCGTGCATACTGACGGCACTTCAGCGAATGAGCCACAAAAATTTGTTATACAGCGAAGCAATTTTACATTTCACCTTTGGTGCCGATGTTATCGGCACGGGTAAAACATTAAATTATCTATTAGATGTGTCTCTGGACTTCGTGACGTACACGATCTGATTGTTTCTCTTTCTTAGTTTGATTGATGTCAACAATAAAATTGCAGATTTATCTAAGGGAAAAATTTGAGGACAAGGGCTCTTCTTAATATCCACCGAGAGGGTTGCGAATGTTTTGAAAATGTACTTATGAATTATAAAAATGTAGATGACTTACTTTTGCTGCTATATAATTGGAATTATTTCCAACATTTAAAAAAATTCAACTTAGCCTTGTAAAAATGTTTTTCGATTGCGCTGCTGCCCCCTTTTCCTAGGATTGTGGAGTCATAGACCCGAAAATTTGGGAAACACCCCAGAAATTTTTTTTGGAGTGTGTAGCTAACGTCTCGCTCCTTTAGTCGAGAACAATTTTTTCGCGCCTCCCTTGACGGAAATTCTGGTACCGCCACTGCTAGAAAGGTACATGGGAAATGAAGCGAAGAAAATGTTTTGCTCTGGAGGAGGGTGTTGACAAGCACCCCGTAACTATGCAATAAGCCATGTGGAGACGCAACTCTGAGCTTAATCCAGATTAACATTAAATCAGCCATGAAGAATACTGCTCCACCTGCATGGAGCCTCTGACCACAGCCATCCAGGTTACATTAGGAAAGATAAGTCAAAGCTGCTGAAGTTTTCAAAATAATGGTGGAATGGCCAAAATTTCAAGACATAGAGCGATTCTATACAATTTATCATCACCATCCATGTAGGAAGATAGGGCCATGTCACAAAATATGGCCTCTTGGTCATTGTAAGCGGTAGACCTGATTGTGAAATCCTTTTGTTTAGCTGCGTATTTTTATAATCCAATTCATAAGTACACATAAGTGCATTCAAAGAGGAACCATCAGAAAAACAAGTTCAAACAGCGCACGAGGCTAGCCAGTCTTCAGCCTCAAAAAAAAAACATACGGTAGATAACAAGACGCGAAGCTCCAGACCCATTAACATCGAAGGAAACGTGTACTATGTTTAAAAAATAATATCAAGGATCGCATAGCTGCATAACCTCATTCCGAAAAAAAGGCAGATGTACTGGTAGGAAAACCTGCTTCAGAATTTTTTGTTCTCTTCTGGGCATCCGAATGTTGCCATGGCTGATCATCTTTATATCTTCGTCAATGTCGTCGTTTCGCACCATTTGCAATTTTATACCAAAACAAGGTATCCCTGGATCTACATGTTTTGAAGCTAATGTCAAGCGATGATTTACAACATCTTTCTCCTTTGCTGCTTTCATATGGAGAGTGCTCCCACTGCTGCTATGACGTGACCATCTATTCATCAATGCCACTTAAGCGAATATCCTGGACAAGATCTTCAGAATTTCAGCTGGTTGAACCGGCTTTTGCACCGTTGCCTTTCTAAAGACATCAGTTGCCAAAAACATAGCACCGTTGGCGGCCAGCGAATGTACCAGACAGCTCGTAATTTGTGAAAGGAATCACCGCACTTCGCCGGAATTCGCCAAACTTTGGTTGCATCGTCATATCTTGCTTGCAAATAGACGAACTCTCAGTTTAAAAGCACCATACAACTCAGCTCGACCAGATGCATCTTTTGATACATAGAAGTCCTGTTCGGTCACGATAGTCGGTCATATTTTACCCATCGACGACGACCCCTAATTTTGCATGGCGGCGCTGTGGGACGATGCGATTCTGCACAACATTTTCGGTGTGGGAAGGTTTTGTGTTTCTTTACGAAATGTAACGTTGTTTTGTAAACAACTATAAGCATTTTCTTGAACGGTGAAGCCTACAGGTCCCAAGAGTGTGAAAAAGATGGAAAACGTATTATTATGTGGTACAATTCTAGACCTACAAGTAATATGACTATGCAGGAGGTTGGGCCACCGGTAGTCCACATCTTCCTGGCAGCAAAAAGTGCGTAGGCCACCGGTGATCCACAACGTCGTCGACGGGTTAAGGACCTTTCCCAATTTTCGCTTCGGTAGGCTGATCGCTGTGCAATGATTCAACACTTTTACTAACCTACAGTGAGAAGAATGCGAAGGATCCCTGAAGTTTGACCGACTGTTGTTTCCTAACAGGCACTTCTATATACCAAAAGATTCATCTCGTCGAGCTGAGTTGGATAGTGCTCTTGGATTCAAAATTCCTTCACTTCGAAACAAGATATGGCTATGCAACCGAAATTCGGCCAACTCCGGCAGAGTGCGGTGATTTATTTCACAAATTACGAGCGATATTGTACAATAGCAGTGCTGCTTTGTTGCGAAGCACGGGCAAGTTCACGGTGAGAAGTTGTACTTTACCGGGAAAGTGGGTTAGCGAGGCGATTTCATGTAAGTCAAGGTTGAAACGCCCCGCGACCGACTCAGCGCATGCGCGAATCGTTCAGCCAGGTGTTTTCAGTGTCTGCGAACGGTCGCGCACCGCTGGTCGCGCTTTCTCGCCGTCTTCCGCTCTCGACACCTCCATCGACGCCATGATTTTCGATCCGACAGAGGTCGCAACGTCGCCAAGTTACTACTTTGGACCTGTTCATTGTTCTTTGTTCGTGACGCAATTTGCTCGATATGCTGATCATTTACAGATGAGTGCCTGTTCTAAGCTCTTCACGATCCTCTCTATCCACTGCTGCTCATCTCCTAAGGCCAAAGGCATATCTCACGCAATTTCAGTCGCTGCACGATTCGGCTCTTCACGATTCTTCACCATGGGCGCAAAAAGCGCTTTACTGGGCAATACTTGAAGCGTTTGTGGCAATCTATCATAGCGCTAAAGCATATTAAAGCTGCGCACGGTAATTACGCAAACATCTGGCAAGATTCTATGTTGCGAAGTTCCAGCAATTTGATGCTATCGCTGGAGGTATGCCTTGAGCCTAACGCTTTGGCTGTCAATTTCTGAAAACCGGTCTCTCAATTTTGTAATGATCAAAATCAATAATTAGGCCATACATTAAGGGAATTAGAGTTCGTGAGCACTTTTTCGAAATCCCAAGCTGGAAATGACATCCAGAAATTTGTGTAAAATGTTTTTTGCGCTTCTAAACGGTTATATAAAGCGACATCCAGATATTTTACGCAACTCTTCAATAGTCTCAGTAGCAGCACTTTTAAGCGAATTTCGCTCACATTGCTTTGCCGCGTTACCTTTTCATCGCAACTTTAAGTGTTCGAATCCAAACTTGCTTCGGCCAGCTGTTTTCAAGGAAATGACATCATACAATGCGTGACGGTGCGGCAACGTCAAAAGTGAAAATTGAAATTGCTCTGTTTTTTAGGATCCTGCTTGGCGAAGCCATTGTTTATATCTCAATTTGTAGTCTTCGGAAGGTAGTTACCGTGACCAAATGCTGCTATTCTTCCTTTCTATGTAATGGAAGCCGCCACATCCTCTGTCTCTCGAAAAAACCATGGACTCTTTCCTGCTCCGAGTGAGATACATTATTTTTTTCTAATTACATTTCACCACCTATATAATGCTCTCAAATATAATTCTTTCTATGAAATAACATGACCGAAAGTGAAAGGTTTGATGATAACGCCTGTGCGCATAGCAAAATTACTTCGCTTTTCGAAATGCATGTTGATTATCAATCTCTTTTGTGTAGCATTTTTCAAAGCCTAGATCATCTATGGTGGAACTATATTGAGTAGAAGAAATTTTATGTAGATGCTTGTAAAGAGAGCTTATGTTCTGGGAAACATTGAATTCTTCACCTACATTTCGACCATACCACAGTCTTAAGTTCAGTGTAAGCTAACTGTTTGAAACTTGACTTGCTGCCTTTTGGCATGAAGATGGTGTTTCAGCCGAAATAAGCACTAAACACTCTCTTCTACTCTTCAAATTCGTTGTTAGTTGGACTATGCGTGGAAATACATGCAAGAAATAGCGTCAGAGTCCTTTATAAATTTGATGATCCTCCGACAGACCTCAGCAGTCTAGTGCCTTTATAAATGCTCACATGGATCAACTATCTTAAGAAGAAACGTGCACTTTTAAGAGATTCCTGACTAGTTCTTTTCCCCATGAAAATTACACTTTTTGTTTCGAAGCTCGTGATATTTTTTTACTTTACTCTTCAACTTTTTGCATTCATGTCACAACTAAATTCTCACGCATCCGAGTTGGTTAGGGTTCAGACAAAGCGAACCGAAAGTAGTGCACGTCGTCATGACTCCTCTTTCAACAAAGAAGCGAAGGTCATCGCTGTCGTCTGCGACGCACAGCGTTCCCCATGATAGGTGGACTCCCACACCTTGCAATCGCAGTCGCGACAGCGATCGCGCATTGCATCACCGCTATCGTGTAAGTGTCGCGGCCGCGCATACATGACATTTGTCTTCTATGTTCCATTCTTCGACTGGTCACATGTCTCGTACGTGTTGGCCTAGTTCTGAATTCAGGTTATTACTCGATCGTATGACTCTACGTCCTTAGACGCGCCCTTTTGTGGCCGAAACTCAGCGGTTATTCTCTCATTTCATTTTTCTCCTGGCACTAGATCCTACATGACACACCAGCCTTGACCCCTCCCTCTTATATTGAGCCTCCTACGTTTGTGAGATCGTACGAGTATCGAATATCCACATCCCTAGCTCAAGTGAAATGCTAATGTTGTTTTACAGAGTGAAACATGTCGACAAATAACGATAAGAACCGAAGGCGGCTTCAAATGGTGTTTGAAGAGCAGGAGAAAGCTGCGAAGTTGGCTTCAACCGCAACAGGTTTCATCATGTGAGTGTCATCCAACATCATATTCTGGCTTTTTTGAACATCCTATTGAATCCATTTGATATTCAATGATGGTTGTGAAGATTTAATCAGCGTAAATGTCTTGCCCTTCGGTAGGCTTGTAAATTAACTAAAATGTGACATATAGGGCCTCCTTGCAGATAAATCCGTCTAAAGATGATGCAGATAAGGTCGCTTCGGACTTCTCTGACAAGAATCTAGAGTAGTTATAATAGAAACGATAAGGACTTAAGTAGGGCGTACTTAGAGGCTGAGCCCACCCAAATTTTCGCCTTGTTTTTTGTCTTTCTGGGTCCTTTTTGTGGCCTTAATTACACTTATGAAATTCAAAATATGCAAAACGCCCGAACTTGATTTTTGGGAGCACTATCCAAAGACCTAGACGGCTTTTACTGCCTGGGTGGGTGGAGCTTGATAGATTTGGGCGTGGCTTGATAGCACATTCGCGGTTCCAGGTCCATCATCTCCATTTAGAAACAACATTGAAGGACCGGACCAGCGCAGATGCCACTCTCTTGGGGCCTACATTCAGGATACGTACTAAGGGGGTTAGGTTTTGCCTAGACGCTGCCTTTAACTGAGGAGGGACTTATTTGGCCCAAAAAGCGGCCTTTGCCAAATTAGAGCAGTTTTATCTTTCCGTTGTACGATACACCACACCTAATCTATTCTCTATTACTCACCAGATGGTGATAAGATTGAAGTTTAAAATAATGTGGTTTATTTTTTTCAAATTTTCAATCCGTTCATTCTGGGCTTTCAATGAGAAAGAATCATTTACCATAACTTTTCTTCTTCCACTTATTTTGATTAATGTTTTTGCAAAGTTAAGCAAAGAAAATGAATGTAGACTTCCTGGCAACTGATTTGCTAGAGTAATATCGGGCTGTTCATTGAAAGAGCACTGCTAATTAGATTCGCTAGCTTTCATTGTAAATGCATTTGTCCTATCGTAGTTCCAGACGAAATTTCACGACTTTGTCCTTCTTTTCGGGCACAAGATTGCAACAAGGTATTCCATCTGCATCTCATTGTTCCCATTTTTTTTCATGTTTCCATTACCTAGCTCTTGTCAGCAATTACACGAATGCTGAGCTATTCAGGTCGATCTGCTTTTTCGTGCTGCCGGTTGTCTGGTCGAGCATGTTCCATCTATTGCCACTATCAGCTCCAGCATGTGCGCCATCTGGATTCGATCCATGGAGCGAATTCACCGACTTGTGAGCACTGCGATGAGAAATCGCGATGACATTTCGCGATATAGATTGCGGCTACATGTACCGCAAACAGTAACTCCACGAAAACACATCTCAACTCGTGCCGGTTGATTTGATATTCCCAGTGCATTCATACGTGTCACATATCTTTTTCTTTATTTATCTATCCAAGCATTTGAGATATTTTTCGTTATCTAATCCATTTTGTTTGCTTGTATAGACTATAATCGACTCAACTTGCAATTCTTGTATGCCGGGTGTAATCGCGAGAAACACTGATAATTCTTTTCGCGGCTGTACATAGATCTCCAGAGCTTCGCTAATAAATATCGAGAAAGATAGAGTTTAGAAGAAGAATCATATCTTCACTACAGGACAATTTGGCTAGTGTGAAAAAAGAGAGAACAATGGAATAGTAAGAATAGAAATTTGGGCAAGAGATCTTTCACAGAATGGACAGCAAGAAAAAATGTTGCTACAGTAAGAATAATTGAGGCGCTGATCGTTTGCGGCCATTAAACTTCTTCCAGAGCAGATCAAATTTCATCAGAGGCTGCTTTAGCATGTGACGATTAGCGATTTTTTCAATTTGTTCTTCTTTCTTCGGACGAAGCGGGTACCAGTATATTCCTGAAAAAGGGTGAAATAAATCATAATTTATGAAGCATAAACATAAACAAAAACAACTATTCTTCCAGGGTCAAGTCAGCTAGCTTTTACCGGGGGGCTCGCTGACGCCCAAAAACAGGGTCTTGATAAATTTTAGAAGACGCGAGATTTTAGAGACTATTCTGGACAAAGGGCCCTTTCCTTTTGCTTTGCTATGCTACAATTAAAGTCTACATCGTCTTAATAGGGCTTCGGTATTTGTTTTGTTTTGCCTTGTGTTCCAGTTACATAACTCCACTTCCTTTTGTGACTGAGGATTGGCTGGTCTTTTGTCTTATCTTTTGTGTTGTCAGATTTTCTGTTCGATTTTGATTTCTTTTTGTGGTGCACCAAGAGTGTATACATAAAATAAAAAATCAAAATTCAGATCATAACTTTGAATATGATAGGTATTCAGGAAATTGACTGTTTACAAATTTTGAGGGGCATCATGCAATTTCTCTAGGCGGCAGCGTGAAAACAGCTAAATAGGAAACAAATTTTTTTCATTCTTTTCAAAATACATTCCGTGTGGATAACCGTGATATGATCGTTGTTTGCTGTGGGAAAGTCGATCATAATCGACAGTAAATAGCCGAATATATACGAAATTTACTCAAGAAGCAGTCATTCCAACATTCATCTAAGGCAAGGGACATACCTCACGCGATTTCAGTCGCTATGCGATCTGGCAATTTGCCAGATGTTTTCAAATTTAATACTGGGAGACCCCAAATGCATAGCATGTATAACTTTCGTAGGTTGATAAAATGCCCCACCTTCCGTACATTCGGAAACCCTGTACGATGAGTTATGAACATTTGGAGTACTGCCAAATGCCCTCGCGGGTGAAATTGCGTGAGGTATGTCCGAGGCCTAAGCTGCTCACACAGATCGCTGAGGTGGCATTTTTCGCATTTTTCATTCATTTTGCACCTGAGCCGTTTTGAAAGCAGGTGGGGGGGGGGGGGGGTTGGGGAGGAAGACGAACAACTCAGCAAGATCAAAAGCTCGAAGTAATCTAAAAAAAATTACTAAACGGTTTGTCCCCATTCTGCATTCAAATGTCAATCTGTTCAGGAAGTAGAGGTGCCGCCAAAGTTCACTTTCATCTCTTGTGCTCGCACTAATGTGCACTGATGTATGATGCCAGTTTGTCTTTCGGAGACGAAATGGGAAACGCAGTGCAGTTACTTTTCGGATGATTAGGTCAATTCGTGAAAGCGACATCATGTGCTGTGAATCTGTGTCACAATAAACCGTCCGATGTGCGATAATTGCGATGTAATTCTAGATCTAGGCTACTGAAAACACGGCCTTACTGGCATGCTAGGGCTATAGCGTCGATGTGTAAATGACTCACAAAAACCTTGGATTACAACTTTGATTTCATCATCAGTTGGAAGCTTGCGTTTTCTACTGTTTGCTTGATGAATACCTTAAAGCATATCAGCATGGAAAATAGAGAAAAGAAGGAATAGTTATAGACCAAGAACTCAGAAAAAATGCTGGCACCCAAAAAGCTTGGAAGTCCCTTTTCAGTTCACGTAATTTTTACAAAGTCGCCTCGATGTCAAAAAATAATTGATTTGGAGCGCAATGGTGTGCCTGGAGCAAGATTGAACCGCCTTTAAGAGCTCTCCATGAAATATACAAAAGCGGAAGAAGGGCTATGAAATGGCTTCGGTTCCAGTATGTAGTTTTCAATATGCAAATCAGTCTTATAAAAAGTCGAAAAATGAGCAGAGGGTTTGAGCGAAGGGTTTTAGCACATTGTGATAAGAAAAAATCTTGCCGCGGCTTTCGTTTACATGAGTTTGTAATTTTTCAGAAACAGTGCGTTTCTACTTCATGCACATTGTTAACAGATTGACTGTTAGATCGTCAAAGGCACCGTCCACTCAGATCCGCGATTTCCATGTTTTGATCGTGGCTTCTCAATCCCTGTTCCGATAATCGAGAATCCGCGAAAACCCCGACAATTTCCGTTCCGGAGAACTCTAGGACGGTTCAACGGTGATTGGATGGGCGCGTACGGAGGGGCGGGCATTACTAAAGGGGAGGTGCCGACTTGAAATCCACATGCCTCCGCCATTTCGAAGCGATTTTCTGCTTCAAAAGCGATATTTTGAGCCACGACTTGGGCATTGGCTTGGTAGGAGGCTCTATTATCATAAGCTGCCGACAGCTTAAGACCCCTAACTTAGGGTGCGAGGTGCCTTCAAGGTGTTCGCTATAAAAAGAGTTTGTTTAGTAGATATCCCTAAGATTTTCCAGGCCCTTGTGCCGGTCCGTTTTGCTGTTTGCACCTCAGGAAGCGGTGGGGAGGAGATGAGGGTGGAGGAATTGAAGAAAAAACGTTAAAACATAATAATTCACAAGCTCTCCAAAAGATAAAGCACTATCTCAGTAAACTTGGAGGATTAAAAGGCTCTTCGAGCTGTCCCACCCATCTCTGCTATTCGCACGGCTTTTGCCAGTCGAACGGCATTTTCCTGATGGCTCAATGAAGATCATTCAATTACTTTTTCTCAACCAGTTCAGACAACTTTTAATTTTTTGCAAGCTGCGGTGATTAAAGACTTAGGCTGAAAATCTGGCGATAGGCCACACCTTATTTTCAACATTGTTTCCAACTTGCTTTGCTCACGATTATGGGCGTAGTGGAAAAGATTTGGGGCCTGTCCTAACCAGCAAATGCTGGTCTACACTTATGCTTGCATTTATCACGAAGTTCAGTCAGAAGAACATACAATCTTTGAAAATATCAGTATTAATTCAAATCTGCTTACAAATTTTTGCAAATTACGCAGCTGATTTAATACTCACTTTTCAATCTTTGCAAAGTGATGAGATCGGTAACAGCGTCGAATCCATATGTAGATTCTATAATAAGTGACACCAACCAGAGAAGACGATAATTTCGCATCTGAAGTTTTTTTTTCGATTGCAGAAAAAGCGGAAAGATTTCGAATTGTCATGCGAATCACAATTAATGACATGAATGTGGATATGAGTGAGGATTTGATCAGGCAGGAAATCGTTCGAAGATAAGCAACAAGGCAGAGATTTAAGATATAATGGAAAAGAAGTGGTTCGTTTAGTTGTCAGCAGCCGCATCTCACGTATGCTCTATAAGAAAATGGTAAAAGGTGCAACAATCTTGGTAAAATTACTTGAAAAATACATTGTTTTCATTAGATCTAACATCAGCTTATATTGCAAAAAATGTCGGGTACACCTTGGCCACATCGTCATCTCGCTCTATTTTGACATTTTCTTCGTCAAAAACTCTCAAAGTATGCCCTTTGGCTGATAAATTGAGATAGAATCCGTCATCAGTTCTAAAATCTAACCACGGATTTGTGATGTAGTATTGCACTTGAACCACTATTGCGTAATAGACGTCCACGTCAACATTGTAAGTGGCTATAAAAATGGTGAAATATTAATGCGCAGCTATTTGCGGTGCACAAAAAGTCGTTAAAATCGCCATGATCTTTGCAAGGCGGATAATTCGAGGAAGGGTTGAACTGAGTTTGTAGGACAGTAGCTTACAATTAGTAGTGGAACTATTTGACACCACATTTATTCGTTGTTTAATGTACTGAGAAAAAGGGCTACATGAGAGTGTTAACATGCGTACTGGTTCATACAGTGGTACGAGAAGCTCATAGCCCAGCGAAAGATGCACGAAACAGAATTTCATCTCATTACTAAAGGCGACGAAGGCTAGGGGTTTCTCCCGCTTTGAGGTAAAATATATATCCATTGATAAAACTTAGCAGGTTAGTCGCAGACTCAGTAAACACACGGCTGCTGCAGACCGAAATTAGAAGAAGGAAAAAAATGTTGGTCGAGAATATTGCATTCCTAGACCACCGTTGTAGACATCGTTATTGTTAAGAATCTGTAGTTACATATCTATTTAATAGCGTTTATGCTGTAAGAGCGAAGATGTACAGTCGTGAACTAGGCACAAAGTCAGGCACAGTCTAGGCACAAAACTATGAAACGTTTCTATGAAGTTTGGATGCTAGGACTGATAGAATCGGCTCTCTGGTCACATAGGTGTTCTTTATTGTGATATACACCACAAAAAGCAGTAGAGCATCAAATTCAATAATAAAAACCAAACGATTCCCCCAAACAAGCGGTTTTTGCATGCAGTGGCCAGGTGGACAGAAGTACATGCATTTCTTGTGATTGGAATAGCAGCCTATATTTGTAGCCATACCTACAATTTTATATCCAAGATAGGCCATTGTACTTTTGAAACAGTAGTGCAATGTAAAACGAACAGGTTGAGATATGAACTACCAAGTACAGGACTGATGGATGTAGTCACTCTTGCTCTTGAATAAAGCTAGATGTTTCTTTTTGAAGCAATCAGATTTTTCAACGTAAGGTCAATTTTCTGGAGGTATACTCTCTGGTTCAAATTATACATACAATATTAAACGTGGCACAAGATTCTTCGGTTTTTTTAGGATTTCAGTACAGTGCTTTTTTTTTGCAATAATACATGCAGATCTCAAGTGCCACAGCCACGGTTGCTTGGATCTTTATCCGAGACGAGAAACGACTAAATTTGAACTGTTTCATTTCTTCAAACCGAAGAGTTAATGCTCGAACAAACCTGTATAAGCACTTTTGAGAGGTAAATGAATTCAGTTATAGGAGCAGCACCTAGTATTACGCAAAGCAAGGATTACAGCATTGCTGCTAGTTTCGGGCCATTTCTATCTTACCTCATAATTGCGAGTAGATACAGCCAAGAAAGAAGTGTTTACAACACTCTATATGGTAGCAATTCTAAAATGAAATCATGGATACGAGATCGTCAGCGGATGCACTTCACTAAACTGGTCAAATCTTACAAGCATCACAGACTCAGGTGTCATTTTTTCCAAATGAAAAAAGCATAATTCTCAACAAGCCCTATGAATTTCTGATTGAGTTCTTATCCTAAACTAGGAAGTGCTCGCAACCTTCACCGGACTCACATCCTGTAGTTTTGAGATTTGCGGGCAAATTCGGAGCGCTTATTACTATTTGGGCCCACAGAAAAGGCTCTGTGATGGGTACAAAAACTTTTGCTTAATTCATATAGGGCTCAAAAAATCGTGACGATGGCGCGACCATGTGCGACGCAATTTTCTCGGCTTTCATCTCTACTCGAATGGTTTTTTGCTCACGTATGTTGGTAACAAGACACTGAAAGTGACTGAGCTGAGCTTGATAAGATGCCTTCTTGTGTGAGTGCTTAATGCTTCTGTAGGCGCAAGGAGTGCAGTCAAATCCGTGTGCGCATCTCGCGATGCAAGCCACTCCTTGTGACAGGAGGCCAAGCGTTGGTTGTCGCGTTACCGGGCGCGATAACGTAATTCGCGCCCGGACCTCTCCTGCTGGGTACGTTGCCAAGACATGGGGTATATAAGAGCGCGCACACCGCGACCTGTGCCTCTTCGAGTTCCTAGGTGTCGACTTTTATAATATCGTTCGTGCTGGCAGCGCCTCCAGTAGCTCGCAGGATGTTGGTCTCGAGCGATTGAGCCTTTGTCATCTTCTTGGTTTTGGAGACGTGCAGCTAGACATCGTAGTTGTAGATGGGAGACAATGGCGGGGGTGGAGAGGGGTCGCGCCGTCCCGTCAGAGCTTGGGACTTGCGGCTGACCAGGTGAAGAACCCGGAATTACGTGTTGGAGACGATCACCTTGGGGCATCGCGGCGCGGAACGAGCGACTTGTCCCGTGCCCCCTTTTCTTTCTCTGGTAGTAGTACTTAGTAGTTTTAGGTGCTTGGTTTGTGTTTTGTTTCAGTAAATGTACTCTAATTAGTTGCGTACTGTGATTATCGTTTTATCGTATGGGTGTCGGGATGAAGGCGTAGAGCGGACGCGTTAAGAGTGCGCAGGCTAGCGCAGACGCGCAAGATCCGGAGTTAGGGTTGTTGTGTCAGGCGGACGAGCACTAGACCGAGGGGTGCCGAGCACACCCAGTCGCAACACCGTGGTCACGATCAAATGATCCATATCTCCGTTAGATAGTCGGGGTTTGTCATGGGAGTGAGAATGTAGTTGTTCTTTTATAGGTTGAATTTCAGAAGATGTATTTGCTTGGATTTTGACTAAATGCAAAGCATGGCTATCTCGATGCTTGGCAAAAAAATTTCAAGCAAATTTGGAGAAGCTTGAAGTTATTTGTATAGCCAAACGAAGGTACGCGTCATGCTTCACTCTGATCGTCGGAGATGACCGCGAAGGTGAATCGACACAGCATCAAACATTCATTATTGACGAACAACTCAATGCGAAAACAATTCAGCACTAGTTGAACATGGCAATGGAGATATTATTGCAGCAACACCAACAGTCAGATACATTGCACCAAAATATGAGATTAACACAAAATCTCAACTGAGCCAAAAACAACACATCACAGCTAAGACATCTTTCAAAAATGAGTTAAGAGCATATTAATGTTTTAGAAGAAAGAACTTGGTAGGAACAGATCCACAACGGTAGTTAGGTAGTGAACACCGAACGGTAGATGAGCATCGTCATGTAGATGACTTGGGATGTAATCGCGGAGCAGTGATGATAAACCGCGATAAATACTGAAGAATGTTTGCTGCAACGTTTTAAGAGCGAGATTCGAGTGACAGGAGACGAGCACGCCGTTCACCATTATGTCTCCTGTACTGGTCAGAGGTGCATAGATTCCAACGTCGTTTACCTAGAATTCAGCAGAAAGTTTTTTTTTTCAGAACTTGAACAGTTGGAGGCCTTGTCAAGTCAGTGATTGGTGCTGTGTGATAGCAGGACCCCTAACTAAGTTATCATCTAACCCGCTGAGTAAGAGAATTGCGAAGCGAGAAAAACGCTCCAGAAGTTAGAAGCGGAAAGGTAGCTCCGCCCATCAACGTGGGTGGTCTGAAGATGAAAGGTCCAAAATTGGGCTTCATCTACCTAGAGTCTCCAATCCACCCTTCATCGTAATTACAGGCGTTTAAAATTTCTATCTACGCCTTTCGGGCTCGTTATCTTCAGACCACCCAGACTGATGGGCGGAGCCATCTTGGCCGCTTCTCAGTTTTGGAGCGATTTTCTCGCTTCGAAATTTATCTTTTGCAGCTGGATTTGGGCGATTACTTGATTAGGGGCCTCGTTATCGTACAGCATCAAAACCTCAGAAACTTGAATCTGGGTGGACGGTGTCTTGAGGTGATCATAGCTTGAAAAACACTAACCGTGTCAATAGTCGAGATCTTCCTTGTTGAAAAGCTATTCATAGAATTTACAATTTGCACACACTGTCCCACTCTGCTTTCCTTGGCAGGAACGAGCCGTAAGTTCTCACTACTGCCACAGTCTGTTAGATATATCAAATGGTTCTCGGTCATTTTCAGAGATTCCCCGGACTCCTGAAATCTCAAAATTATGGTAAGGAATGTCTAGTGACGTCTGTTCCGTTACCAGTGTAAATCGTAAGAACTGTGCTTCCTCCTTCTCTAGCTTGTGAAGAAACATGATCACTGGTGAGAACGTTACCTTAAATGAACTAATTTTTGAAGCTGATTTTGTTTCAGATTTCGATGAGAGTTTGCTAACCATAGATTCGTCAATGCTCATCACTATATCTCCTACTTCCAAGTCCTTGATTGCTTTCGATCCGGACGGGGTTTCCACCTTATATTTTGTAAAAGTTAAGCATGTAAAGATTTTCTATCAGAGCTCACCTGCATGTCCCCACTGAAACATTGCATTGCTTCGAATAACCCGTTCAAGCCTGCTGGTTGCTGTAACAATTAGGTATCACGAACTTTCTCAATAATTTTTCTCTAGCAAAGAAAGCTGTGTTATTTGCAAGTAAAAACAAATGGAATTTAGAAGATTTCTTACATAGTATGCTGGATACTGGTAATAGTAGGACGGTGCCGCGCTTTGTACTGGTGCAGCTCGAGCATACTGGTCCGGCACAGGTTGCCGGTATTGGGGTTGGGGCTCTGAAAAGGGCTGACGGAATTGCACCCTTTGTGGGGGCGGCTCAGTATAGTGCGGTTGTCGAAATTGCACTTGCTGAGCGGGTGGCTCTGAAAATAGTAAAAATTCGATGAAGCAAGAATTCGCGATGCACGACTCCGCCGGGAACTATGGTATCTCGTGCGACTTACAGTTAATGGTTAGCAGACCGAAAGCGTCGGCTGAGCAGATGGCAGTGGTTGAATTGGTCTAATCTTAAGGTTAGTTGAAAATTTTACTAGCTTTCAAAATTTGACTACTTACGAGATTATGCTTCAAAAATTGTTGCAATTGATTTCTACTGTTTATTCACAATCGACAAAAACATCACTCACGTATATAAGGAGATGGGGTATAGGCTTCTTTATAGGCGGGTACATACTGAGGTAGTGGCTGATAAGAGCTTGGCGGTGGTGGTGGCGGAGGTAGCGGACCGTCCATCGGAGTAACAGGCATAGCCTGGGCGACCTAGAGCAAACATTCTACATTTTATAATAGCTTAAATTGAGCCTAAAAACTTTCAAGAGACATTTGACTTAAAGTGACATTTTCCCATAAATTGTTTTTTTTGCTAAACGGTGAATTAGATGAGTTTCCGGAGCACTAAACTTGATGTGTGCACAATGTAGCAGAGTAAATGGTAAATCCTTTTTACCTACTTTTTCATAAACAAAAGATATCTATCAGACGTTCAGTCATATGACTTTTGAGCATATTTGCACTTACTAGGAATTCGGATCATCTAGAAAGTACAGAGCATGCACTTTGGAAGCACAAAAATGCCTCTAACTTTGTCCAGTAGAGCGTTTAGCAAAGATGAAAAGTTGTTTTGTAGCGTTCAAGACTCTCTCAACGATATGCCTCTCATTGGGCAAGGCCGCTTCGAGTCAAATGCTATTACTCGTTAGCCGGAGTTCAATGGAAAAGATACCGGCACTTGCTGTTGCGGAGACGACAAAGGAGCGAACTCTTCAGCTATGGCGGAGCCGCTATTAACGATCACATCCTGCTCGGCCTGCACAAAATGAACTTGTGTTTTCTTACTCTGTTTAGTACTCACCTTGAGAGGTATCACATCATTAGCCTGGAAGATGCCACCATCAGCGTGAGCACGCGCGAGCGGCCACAAGCGATTGTTCGCTTGCTGCCTCCTTAACATGGATTATCAAACGTATTAGATTGTTACTAATAGTTACGCTCAACAAACCACGAAAGGTTTTATCCTCATTTCCAAATTAAGAGGGATGTCGATTTTCGCTACATATATGTCACACATGAAAATACAATTCTCGAATTTGGAATTTTCGAATCATTTTTGGCAAATTCCAGCTTGTGTTACTGAAGAGCTTGAGCTCTGAACTGCCTTCATATCACTGCTGATGCTTCAGGAAACCCACAAAAATTCAAAAAAGATTGAAAAGAAGATGAGAGATTCTCAGAAAGTGGAGAAAAATGGAAGTTGGGGGGGGGGGGAAGAGTGCTGGTAGAGACTTGATTTGTACTTACTGTAACTCATGCCCGCGAAGGCTAAAATGATGCCAATGCATAAATAATATATGCCAAATATAAGACTTTGCCGAATTTTCTAGAGTTTTACAAAGGAAGACGAAGAAATTGTAGCAAACTTCTGAACAACCTGATATGCTCCTAGGAACTGGACGTGTAGCATATTATTAGCACAATATGTATACTAAATCAAAAAAGAGCGGTCTATTTTGACCAGTGGTGATACTCGTTTTTTTTGCATGGGAATATTTTGGTATAGCTTCTGCCATTCCGTTACCAAATTGCATTGATGGAATGTAGCGTGTAGTGTAAATTATGTGCTGAAGAGAGCGGAGCTCAACACTGCTACGGGGAGTCCGGCCTTCATTGACCTTTTTGTGATTATTCAAAAAAAAAGAAGATAGAAGTGCATGTGCACAATTTCTGCTCTATGTCTCGGAAAGTTCAGAATACTACAAGCACAGCCCATTCGCTGCCTTTGACGGTCGTTTAAATGAGCTTAGAGGTTCAGATTCTTTGAAGACATGCGAAAGGCAGCGCAAGGGCACGAGACGCACGCGAGGCGGTTGTTTCCAGAGGATGTTTTGGGCAACTATATTTGTTATGTATCACATTTTTAAGCAGATGGATGGCATAGGATTTACTGAGAACGTAATTATACGAATGCCAAAACCTTTCGATGAAGTACTGCCTTTTTATCAAGCCATATTTCTGTTTGCTTCTTGTTGATACGTCGGCGAAAAATATGAGGAACGCAAATGTCCAAGAAGCCCGTTTGCAGCCTATTTAGTTGTATCATTTCATCTGTCATGCTGATAATAGGAACTCGAATCCCGCTGTGAAATGCGCAATTCTGACTTTTACAGGAATGAAGTTGATGGTCACCTAGACACCATCTGACGCGGAACAATTACAGCGTAGTCGTAATCGTAGTAATCGTCATAATCCCGCATGGCAGGACGTCGCCTATATCCTACTCGTCGATTGCGCCTAATCGGGCGCTCAGTTCGATCACGGTAACGACGTGGCCTGAAATGGCGAACAACAAGTATATAATGCAAGACCATTTATTCGATCTATCTTTTGTTTTAAGTAAGAATGTTAGCTGCTTCCGAGGAGGGCGTAAAATATTGAGCTGAAAGGGGAGTTCTATTGCACTAGTTGAAGATAGATAGCTTCTTGCTTTCTAACAAAGTTGCATTGAAAAGAGGAAACGAAACTCTTTACATTACACTACCCACACCAATTATCCGACAGAAAACGCAAAAACTTAGGAATCCAGGTTGTGTCCTAGCGGCTTTCCAATGAGCGCAAATTGCATGTATATAAACAGTGAAAGAAAATTACTGAAATTTCAATTTTGTGTTTGGTCGTAAAAATCTCTTGCATCAAAAATTTGAGAAGTAGGTATTACAGTTTTATTATATCCTCTTTCTAACCTTTCTACGTTTGCGCTCATATCAAAAGATGTGATTTTCGACAAGCAGTAGAAAAAGCAAATTTGATTCTTTTTAACTTTTTCGAAAAACAGAACTTTCTGTGGAGACACACTATCGGAGCAAATTTTGCACGGGTAAAAAGAGCAAGTAATAAAACCTCTCGCACCGAGTGATCCGATTTTTGCTGCAAGTAGAATTCTTACGAGCAACATTTCTTCCATCATTTAATTCTATGCAATACATGCTATTAACTAGAAAGGCGGAAAGAGAGTTTTAGGAGTGGCTTGATTCACTTTTATCCAAACAGAATCAAAACCTTGCAAAGTTGTTGAGAAGGCAAGAAGTTATGAATCCTTGATGGTGGGATAGAACTTTGGTTCCAGCCTAATGGAATAAGACCGCTACGAAGACTACGCCATCAAAATTTTGTGTCACGGAAATGTTGCCTAATCAATTTAAAAGTTTTCGGAGATGTTACAAATGATTAATGGCCCACCCATCATTCCCTTCCCATTCGTACTCATACTCTTCTTCTTTCTTGGTGTCGTCCATGCGGCGCTTATTTCTGCTCTGACTTCGCGCGTAGCCTGAAAAGCGTACAAGGATTGTCCCAAGCTAAAGACTCAACAAAATCTTTTACACAATATGAATTTAACTTAATCTTACCACGAGAACGCACACGGTCTGTCACGCATGGTAGTCGATGAATCGTGACAATGTACTGTATTCTGAATAAAAAACAGAAAAAATATGCGTAAAGCGTTTTGATTCAATTTTGTGCAAAATGTTTGTTGCAGCTAGTATTTGAGGTTGTAGGGTAGACACACCTGTTATCTCCAGTAACCGATTTTCGTACTTCCTTAATTATATCGAACCCTCCGGACCGTCCAGATTTTTCATTCACTCCTCCTTCATAACTGAAAGTGTTCTCCTGAATTCAGGGCACTGTGCTTACAATACTTCATACCTATCATCTTGTCCAAGAAAAATGGTCCTTAACAGCTGCGAACGAGCCATTCCAGGATAAGAACAACAAATGGCGTTTAAGCTGAAGGATAAAGTTACTTCTAAATTAGAACTAAGGTTATTTTTTGAAGATTTACTCACACATTATGAGTGCCATTGTTCACTTCTGCAAGACCACCAGTCCATTGCAGTTCTCCGGTGCAAACAACGTCTTTGAATGGCTTGCATTTCTGTATCAAAACTATAGGAAACAGAGTAGAATTTATAAAATATTAGACAGGCAAGGGACTAATGTATATCTCTACTTAGCACTAAACGACTACAACAGCTTTCTAAAGTCTATTTGAAATTCCTCACACCATGATTATTATCTACAATTGCCCATCAAATTTTGGACACATCAGGATCAATCGGTGGTGTGATCTTTAGTTTATTCTAGATCTGAACTACAATAGCGACGACCTTCATTAAACGCCTCGCCAAGTCCACTTAACTATCCGCCGAACAACTCATTCCGACACCAGCTGAGTGACCAGTGCATCCGTACCTTACTGATGACGTTAAAATGGCACGTGGAACAGGTTTTACGAAATGAAAGTTTAGGTCGATCTTGAAAGTCGGCTGTCATTTCATTGCAGCGTAAACACCATACTATCACTAGTTTACAAAAGTGCCAGCTTTGCTGCCAATCTGATCCGGTAGCAAAAACCTTATCTTGACTAGTAGACCAGTGGCCCCATTCGGCTGGCAATTAACACATATTGTTCTTTTTGAAGAATGCGAATCGCAAAATAACGGCGATATCATGAAGTGGCCCCATTAGTATGCAAGTAGAATAATCTATGTCTTGCTTGAAAAATTTTGGAACTATTTCATACATAAGCTGGATCCACAAGTGCTAGTAGGCATGTTGTAAAAAACACTGGAAGAAAGAATTTAAGAGAGGACCGTCAACGAAATTCTCAGTATGCTGACATTGGTGCATAACAGTATCATGAGGATAAGAGAGCTGGGGCAGATGCACATGCTCAAAATTGGAGGGTCTTCGGCTACCCTTGAAGTCACACAACACGTCAACATATTTTTAAAGTCTCGTACTCACTCTAGCAAATACCGCCAAATCGCCCTCAACTTCAAACAGCTTATCTAGTGCTTTCTTCTATATTTGAGACTCGCACTGAACGTATTTAGAGCTGATGAAAACCGAAAATCGTGCCTTTCGACCGCTTCCCTCTTTCAGAAAGTCATTGATCATTGCAGCTCACCCTTTTCAAGATTCAGAAATTTCCAGCTTCTACCTTATTCAGCAGTCATGTTGAAAAACATAGTAGCGCTCCAGTGTATTCCGCAATTTCAAAATTAATCGAATACACAGTCGCATACGGAACTACACGAATTCTGCAAAAGTGCAGCAGAGAAGTCTTTTAGACAGGGACAACATATGCAGAAATCGTCCCATCATAATTAAACAATCTAATTTGCAAATGGTCACCACAAGTCTATAAAACTGAAGGCACCTTTCTGTGCTTAAACTACTTATGATTTTAGAGGTTGGTCGCATTTATAAGTTTACTCTCAAAATTCTGTATGACTACAACATTTACTTTTTCTGTATTAAGTAAAGGATGAGAGATTTTCAAAATAACCCTAAACGAAAATGGAGAAATTCAAACTAAAGTTAGTACTGTGGCGATATCCAATGAGCAATTTTTAGCCTGAATGTCTGCGTTAGCCAGCCATGGATCTAAAAGAGGACAGCAGGGTGGAGTAATTCTAACGTTTCAAGAAGAAATTAGTATAAATAGAGCTATCAATGCCTCGAAAGCTATATCTAGCTTAGGTAAAATATGCTCTGAAGGCTGACCAAGTGTTAATGTTCGCAAAATCGTGATTCAAAACCAAGTATAAATATTCGCAGTCGTAGAACTAAAGGGACGATTCGTGGTTAATGCTAATTTCCAATTATATGTGTTATTGAACGTGCACATAAAGACAAAAAAGTTCTATAACCGACATTTTTTATACTAAATCTTAGTTGGCGATCGTTTCTATATTAATGGGTGAGTCAAAACCGGTCTGAACTCAAGTACTTCGAAATGACAGAGAACTTCTAGATGTTGAAACGTACCACCGATGCACGAATATTTTCGTTAGAGTATTCTCCCAGGCAGGGAGGAGATAAACAGGACAGCTCTAAAACAACATTTAAATCACTTTTTCTACTATTTTTTAGGCTACAGCACTTACTAGGACTTCCTTTGTCGTCTATCGAGATACGGTAGGGCAATGCATCATTTCCACACGTTCCACCATCGTGTATGACGTTTGAGTAAGAAATCGGAAGAAATACAGCAAATATCGTCCCGAGCAGCCCTCGCATGCTAAATAAGGACTATACCTAACTATTTGTAAATCGTTGGAATGTTCTAGATAATAGAAAATAATAATATTGATGAAGTGAGTAATATGGTGGGTCCTAACGCGATTCTGATATGATAAAACGAATCTGAACAGCAGCGTAGAGCCGCGCAATGATTCAAAGATTACTGTACGTGCGACGCTTTTAAACTCCGTCCCCGCGTTTTTAGACAATTGGAGGCGGCGCTGAGACTGAAGGAAGAGGTACGGGCGGGGTTCCTTGGAAACAGGCCAACGCGCTAATCTCCCCATTAACTATAGCCTTAAATTCTTCTGGAATCCCTCATAAGACATTTGGAAAGATCTGAGAGGTGCATTTTAGGAGAGGGCTATGATCAGAGGCTCAATGGACCTTTTCGAGTTGTGATTTGTAACGATCTGAAATTGAAATGCAGATGCATGCAAGAAATCGTCATAATGGATAGACTCGTCCCATCTGCCGTCCTTTCCACTTCTCATGGCTCTTTTCCTGATATGAAGAGATTTCATTAGAATTTCTAGCATTCATCCGAAAGTATTAGTACACCACCAAAACAGCCATGCATTTTTTTCGAAGCCCCTTGTTTACCAGTGTGATAGTTAGCTATAGAAAATCAAAGGATGGAGCCGATGTCGAAAGAACTTTCCACATATCAGTACCAATTTGAAGAGCATAAGCTGATTCTCAAACTGTCTTTGTTATCCAAGCTTCTCTGGAAGTTGATTTAGCATTTTTTGCTGAAAAAATCGAATGCGCAGCTGGAACAAAATCGTCCAAGATTGTTCAAATGGCCCAGTGTCCGATATCAAAGCACGCCATGCATAGAATATTTTTTCTAGTATGCTCATTCAACACTGCTCTATCTAAGCGCTGAAAAGAGGCAACAATTGATTTTAGTTAGATTTTGCGTTCAATTTGTGCCCCAAAAACACTCATGACTCAACGTCCAGAGGCTCATGACAAAAAAAGAAAGCACATTTGAAATTCGCACTCAATGCTCTTCAGGCTGGTATTGACTTTGTGTGGAAAGCCCACTTCGATTTGGGCCCTTTCCTTGTCAGTTATGCAGCACTGCTCCCTAGCTCCACTACGAGCGAAGTATGCGCACTTGATAGTTCGGCCCTAGGAGCTCGGACTAGAAAAGCGTGTAGCTCATCAATTGCGATTGAAATCGCTTACTTATCATCTGAAAATGACAGACAGCAGAAATCATCTAGCGGAAAGTGTGCCACTTTCAGTCGACCTCATATCCTCGTGATCCGATTTTCTCAGCTTTTTCCCTAGTCAACACTATGAGAAAATAGTTTTATATGAGAGCCGTTAACACAGTGTTCAGCAATCGACGCTACATCGTGAGTGCAATTATGCGAGATTAACTAGAGCACCACTTTACGCACGACGTCGTACACGATGGCGCGGAGCGAATTGGACCCTTTCTCTGGTTCCTGTTTCAACACCATCAGCAAATTATAAAGATTACGACTTCAACAAAGGGAACATGTTGAGCTAGATGTTCATACTGCCGGAGTTCTGTCCCTTGAAATCCATAACTCCTCCGCAACTATGGGAGACAGATTTGCAAGAAAACGTTTCGTAATCCACAAGACAGTATTAATGCCATCTTCAAAGGTCGCTTCCCTTACAAGCATCTTTCCTTTTGAGCAAAGTTATGCACCTGGTACCCCTCGAAATTTCTACGAGTTCTCCATAAGTAAGATTATTGTTATGATTTTCAAGCAAAAAATAGCTCAAAAGTCATTAATGTTGTTCAACTGGCACAGACTTTGTTCACATGAATGATAGATGGTAAATTTCACATCACTGCCTATCCGACTTTTATTGTAAGTTTCGGATTTTTGACGAGCAAGCACGGATTTGAGTAATCTTCTTCCAGTCTTCCCATTTTTATGATTTTACAAAAAGCCATCTTAAGGACTGCTACAAAGCGTCATTCGGATAAAATCAAAGCAATACAAAACCGCTGTGATTGCAAGACATTATTTGAGTGATGCGATTTCGCAACCTAAAGTATCTCTGCTTCTTAAGAATTTCCAAGGTGAAGATAATTATCACCATTTCACGAATAAATTTGCCATTTTAGATGTACAGGTCCGTATCAAGTATGCGTATTCTACCTTCTAGCAGACTTCACCATAATTTTGACATAATAGGGGATTTTTCATAAACTATTGCGCAGGTGACCGTGTAGGATACTGCAACGGGATATTTGGTCAACAGCTGCGGCTCGTTTTCGGCCGTAGTGAACTAACCGTCCAGTATGAAGAATGAAGAGATTACGGGGATATCTGGCAATCATGTTTTGATAATAATCACAACGGAATGAAAGATGTGGCTCTACGTCACATTCTTTAGAATTTATATCCAGAATGAGCGAGCCACGTTCGGTTTGAGTTTGAGCCGGCCAAATGAGGATTTTCGAATGTTTTTTCTTGTCATAGGTATTGAGCTCTCACGCTCCATATAGCTATTCTTTCAGCAGACTCAAAGTTTAGATAGTGTGGCCTACTACTACAGCGAGTTCAGCGCCTGAAATTTGACTAGATACACTTGCACATGAGCTAGAAGTTCTGTGAATCCGTCTGCCCATGAGACTATGTAGGTTTGTTCCAGATTATCTCACTTATCCGAAGTTGTTCAGCTTGAAAGATCACAGCTCTCATTTTTGATGTGAGCTCCAAACAATTTCTCTATTTCCGAGAAAATCGACAATGTTCGGCTTGAGTAACAAAATTTTATTGGGCAACTGATTAAGTACGAAACTCAATGAGAGGTGTTGGTCATGGCACAAATATCGAGTCAATGCTAAGACAGGACACTAGCAATGGTGTCTGGCAACGATTGCAAAACCAGAGCAAGCGAACAATTTGCGTTGCAAATACAAGTGACCAAGTATGGCTGGTCCAATGGTTTGATACGAAATTGAATGGAAGAAAATGCCGTCAGTGGTTGTGAGTGAATCAAATGGCAAGCTTTGAACACGGCACATCGAAAACCCATATAATGCTTGCCGTTAAATTCTTTCAGAGTATAAAAAAAGAACTCTGCTGAAGTTTATTGTCAAGAAACAATTTAGGAGGAGGAGCTCCATAAGCGGCTCTGAAAAAATTGGAAATCTCAAAAATATCAGATCGCTTATAAGATTAGATGGGTCAAAAGAGAATTCGGAACATGAATACATAGAAATTGTCAGAAAATCGCGGGAAAAGGAAGCAAAAATATACTGTAACAACTAGAACGAATTCTACAATATATGTGTTTTCATCACTGATACACGTGTTGTGGCTGAAGGCCGCTTTGTATTATGAATACAGTGTGGTGCACAAAAGTAGCTATACAACTTTTCAACAACGACCAATGACCATTTCAATATTGAAGTAAAAAGCAAACAACATAAAATTTCGATAAAAATTTGCTTCAATTCACTCATATGAAAAAAAAAGAGAAGTGTACAGAGAAGAAAAGAGATAATGAAGGGCACTTCGACGCTAGCGTGAAGCTCATGCTCACACCTTGGAGTCCGAGGCATTGATTTCTTTTGGTACCGAACGGCACTCGAGCGGTATTGTTGGGGTGCACTCCATTCTTAGACGAATATTTTGAGGGACTCGGGTCTCTTGACTATGGTATTCAATCAAACTTACCGGCAATATGCTGCAATACCAGTTTCGATACCGTCGATACTCGAAAAAAGACTAGATCCACCTCGACCGGAAGAGCAGCGCGACTCGGTCGAGTTTCTGAAGGTAACAAATTGGCTTGTAAAAAATTTTGTCAGCAGTTTGCTGTTTGTTTATTGGTATGCTGCTAGCGACGGAAAGAAAAGTGGGAAAATTTTTTTGATCTTTGTGTTAACCGAAATCCCGCGAGCTAACTGACCCCAGATTACCGCTCATAATTCGTCAAAGAGGTCACCGAATCACCGGAATACGCCAATATCAGCATCGCATCCCCATTTCTTGGTTCAGTGGTATGATTGTGGATTCAACGGCACCGTTAGACTCAGCTCGATGAGGAGCATCTTCTGATGTACAGAAGTCCCCGTGGAAACGGTAGCTCTTCTGAGGTACAGAAGTCCACGTCGATCGGTAGCTGCACGAGATGCGGTCAGATTTCACTATTTATTGTTAGATTTTGCCTCCCATAGGTTACTCAGTGCGCTTTTTGCACACTCAGTAACTTACCGTAGACAAAAATCTGATCTGACCGCCTACAGTAGCCAAACCTGCACTTCTATAAGGCAAACAGTACCTTTTTGAAAATTTGTTCACGCTGAACCAAAATGTGGGGATGCACCGCGGATTTCGGTGAACTTCGGTGAAGTTCGGTGACCTTTTGGACGAATCATGAGCAGGCATGGTATGCATCAACGCAGAAATTATCAGCATGGAACTGCATTAGAATAGCCAGTATATGTCTTCCTATGCAGTAATGTTCCCAGGCTAGCATGAAATCAGTTCTAACCTCCTAATGACAGACTCAGTTGTGAAGCTTGGAGACGGCATAAAACCTTGATTAGTTGCGCCAGACGAACACTGAATCCTCGGCTCAAACGTACCCGAGTCAGAACATCTGAATTTCTTGCATAAAGGACGAATTCGAAATCGAAATCACTCACGTTAATGTGCTTTCCGCTAATGATGTGGTAGGAGGAAATGGGAAACGGGTGGGAGTGGAGCGATGGCCAGCCACGTTTATATATGCCGACTCAGTTCGCGCCGCTCCCGGCTCGCCTGAAAGGACTCTGTCTAAGATTCTTAGCAATGACAAGCTTGAGCTTAGATGTCAGGTTTCAATATTGTGATGCGATAATTCGTGAAAATTCACCTAAAAAAGGGACCGAGTAGTGACTATGCGTGGAGAGTTCTGGAGCAATCCACGCTGGAGATCCAATAGCCGAATCCACTGAAGGCGCAGCAACTTCGGCAACAGCTCGAGGCACCGAGTAATCCGATTCTTCTGCTACGTGAAAGTTTTCGGAACCCGGATCTGTATTATCGTCGGTGAAGATGTTGGACATACTCATGAAACGTCTTAAAGGCACCATTCACCCAGAAAAAGGAATCTAAGATTTTGATGCTGTACAACAGCAGATACCCTAACTAGGCCACTGCTCAAGTCCCGACGCAAAATATGAATTCCGAAGCGAGAAGACCGCTCCAGAAGGTAGACTTGGACAGGGTGGCTCCGCCCATCAACGTGGGTGGTCTGCAGATAATGGGATCAAAAGTGGGCTTCACAGTAGGTAAAAAAGAGTCGAGAATTTGATAATCATCATGAAGAAGATTTATGGCACTCTAGATACGTAAGAGCCCAATTTTGAGCTTGCTGTCTTAGAAGCGCCCACGTTCATGGGCGGAGCTACCTTGGCCGCTTCTAGATTCTTGAGCGTTTTCTCGCTTCAGCATCCATCTTTTGCAGCCGGACTTGGGCATTTACTTAGTTAGGAGCCCCACTATTATAAAAGGCCAATACCTGAATTTGAGTGGACGGTGCCGTTGATTGATTTTACCTGTTTGTTGCCTCACAAGCCGAGCGGCTGCGGAAGAGTCATTAGGCTGATTACAGTACTGATGTTCTTGATCAGATGCCTGCAGTACCTCACATTCTTCAGCCGCATCTCCCATAACAAATGCCGATCCAGCGCCTTCGACATTATCATCACAGATGGCATGAAGTGGCTGTATGCATCATTTAGTAAATCAGAAAAAAAAACGGGAAGAAAAAAAACTAACATCTGAAGGCAAGAATACTGGCGCCGATAACGGCCGTGTACGTAGTTTCCGACCTAGACTACTGTCACTAGAAGGAGGTGGCGGAGCACCTTCCACATCGTCAAAGATGGTATCGCTCTGTAAAAACTAAGACCACGATAAGAAAGTCGAGTGATTTTGTCATTTCCTAAACCGCAATTTGCAAATTCTCACATCAGCATCCTGTAACATCCAGTCCAGATAATCCACGATCATTTTGAATGTCGGACGCTTCTCTCGTTTCTCCTAAAAGAAAATCAAAGTTTGAGCATTCTTGAGTGCAAACAAAACGTTTCTTTGACTCAATGTAAAATTAAATAAGTCGCAATGAACTGATCAAAGAAATAACAAGGCTGAAACGAAGCTGCATCGTTAAAGGCAGTGTCCGGGCAAAAAGTCGATTTTGAGATTTTGTACTTACTGGGGCCTGTTCGCTATGCTGAATCCGAAAATCCACACTGGAAAGCGCGAATACGGCCAAAAAGGCCTCTAACGTAGGCGTGAAATCAAAAGGGGGCGGGGTCTTCCTCACGGTGAATTCACGGTCTCAGCTTCCGGAGCGATCTTCTCGCTTCCGATTTCAGATCATGCGTTCGCATTTGGTCTGTGGAGATGTCAGGACGGTTAGCGGAATTAAAAAGATTGCTCCGGAAGCTGGGAGCGTGAACCCACAGTGGGGAGGACCGCGCCCACCAGCGTTTTCCCTCCTGCGCTGGAAACCTTTTTCGCCGTTTTCGCGCTTTCCAGTGTGGATTTTCGGATTCAGCATGGCGAATTGGCCCGGGTAAGCACAAAATCTCAAAATCGACTTTTTGCCCGACACTGCCCTTGACACTGCCTTTAAGTCCCAATAGACTATGAATCAGCTCACCTGCCAGCATGAAACCATAAGGTCATAAATTTCACTCGGACATTTTTGAGGCGGCTCCATCCTAAAAATCAGAGCTCCAGATTGTGAAAAGAGTAAAGCTGTCGCATACCTATAACCACCCTTCAGTACCGAGTAAAGTTGAGGCATGGCAATCGTCGGATATGGCGTCCCACCCATGGTCATTATCTCCCAAAGGAGAATCCCATATGACCATCTAAGTATGTTTAAAATGTTGAAAAGTACTTACAAATGAAACAAAAATGTTGGTCTTACACGTCGCTTTCCACTGTGTACATGTGGGAATCCAAGGCTTCCAAAGCCATCCATTTGATGGGTAGCCTACCATTGCCCTTCTTTCTGCAAGTGCAAGATAAAATTTCCCTCTCACTTCTCACACCCGTAGTCAATAATTTGCTCATAGAAACCAATTATTCGTAGCTGTAGGAGTTCAATTCATCGTCGGCCATTTTAAAAACGAACAAATTTTGTAAACTGGTGCTAATTTGATACCACGATAAATACCTGTAATAATCGTTGCAGTGAACGTCTCTCGACAGTCCAAAGTCTGATATTTTCATGACGAAACCTTCAGCAACAAGCACGTTCCTAGCAGCAAGGTCTCTATGGATAATCTAAAACTGGAACTGCATTTTACAATCGAACACTATGGCTGATCTACCTTCTTGTTCGCCATGAATTCCATTCCTTTTGCAACCTGATATGCGAAATGGACTAGATGTTTGTGGGTGATATTGTGAATCACAACCTGAAATTAATGTTAACTCCTATTCGATGATAGTTTCTTTTTTCTTACCTGGTTTTCGCATTTGTCAGACCATTTTCGCGGCTCTAAATAATCAGCCAGTTCCTCGCTATGTTTGGCCATCGCTTCTTGTTTATCTTCTCTGGGACGGTGAATACGTAAGAAGTCCCTGAATTGCGGATTTAATATTTATTTATGGAGGAAGGCAACTTACCTCAGATTCCCATATTTACATAGTTCAAGAACCACATAAAGCGGCCCTGAGCCGGTGCAACATCCAATCAGTCGAAGGAGATTTTCATGCCTACCTATGATCTGCAAAAAATCTCTGGAGCTTACTTTACAAGTAGGGAAAAAGACTTCGTGCATAATAATTGTAAAAGCATTAAATATAAGCTTTTTTATGAGAGCCAGCTCAAATACATCATTTCCATTTTTAGTGGTAGAAATTCAAAAAGAAAGTCACCTTGAAAGTCTCCATTTCGCTGACGAGATCTATAAGCTCTTTCTCATGCGCTGATGACTTCAGCTTTTTTACTGCCACGGGAATCCCCTAGAATATTACTACTTTAATGAAGCTCGTACCATTCAAACAAGGAAAAACCACAAAAAAAGGAAATTGGAGGAGCAACGCACCTCAGCAGCAGCACCAATATCTTTTCGATCGGGCTTCAGATTAGCTCGCCAAACTTCACCGAATGCACCTTCACCGAGAATGTCAACTAATTCAAGCCTGCAATTATTAAGTATCTAGATTGGGCAGATGACTGGAAAAGGCGAACTTTACCTCGATCTATCAATTTCCCACTGCGGGTCGGGATCAATCTCGTAGTCCGATAGCAATGTGAGGTCAGAGCTTAGACGAGGTCGACGTCCTTTCGATGTTGTGGCTTGTTCCACAATCTTTATTAGTGTTATACCCATCTATTAAGCTTTAGAGGCAGTGAAAACTTGCGAGTGCGAGCTTTTCGCAACTACCTGGCCTTCTGGATCCGCTGAGTTCGGTACTGTGCTTGAAAATACAAAAAAGTGCTCTTTTCTGTGTTTTCCGGCCTTGAAGATTGCTAAGGGGGCGGTTCCCGCCAAAAACAGCAACTGGCTATAGGTTACTGTACCTCTACCCATTTTGGCGGCGATTGGCTGAACTCAGCAGCCAATCGCAACTCAGTCGAGAATCGCTCGCCCAGCCCTCCAGCAATCTCCAAGACCGAAAGACGCCATGAAAAGTACTTCTTCGACTTTTCAAGCACAGCCCTGGATTCAGCGCATTCACAAGACCAAGGAGGGATGGAAAGCTCGTAATTGCAATTTTCTCAGTCCACTGCCTTTTATGTCCTACCTGTATTTGATATGTGGAGGGTAGATCTGAACACCCTTCCTTTTCATCCGGATACGGTTTATGAGTGACCACGACCTAAAATTCACAGTTTACAATGACCGGCATTATGTTATAACGCTGAAACATACTTTTTTCTTTTTCGGCATCAACCCAACACGATCCTCCAAATCTCTTCTTTTCTTTGTTATTCGGAAACAGATATAGTAGGCGACGCAAAGACTGAGCAGCAGTGAGAGAAGCATAACGATGAGAAGCAACAAAACTGAAAATGCTAGCACTGAAATGCTTCATTGGCGAGAACTTCACACTAAGCTCAGCCCAGACCGTAATTTTTGTGAGAGGGCCAATCAATAGAGGAAGGCGGTTTCGGTGTCGTATAGTCACTTGTGAGAGAAAGATAAAGAGAAAGACAAAGTTAGACAACATTTTACAATGTTCTCAAGTACGGTAGAAGTTATAATGACTTAGCTAAAAGATTGCAGTTAGCGCCCACAAAAGAACTCCAGGTACCCAGATTCTTATAAACCTTTGAGCTTGCTCCAAACCACAATCCTGCGTGGGATGGTTCCTCTATCACTCTTTTGTTTATGCCGCTTAAAGCGTCTTAAGGTTGCTGTTCCAGCCAGTACTGTAAAAATAACAATAGGTAAAAACACTCACGTATGCTCCAAGTGGAGTACTCAGGTTCAGGATTCCCTGTGAGCAGAACCATTCCAAGAAACTCATTCACAGTCAACGTGGCATTTGCGACATTCTATTAGGAATTCTTTATTTATGGAACTTATACTTTATCACTATATAGAGAAGTAATTAAAATAAAGAATAAGAAACATTTTTCTACTTTACTAGAAACACATAACTAGCTAGACCTTTCATAAAGTGAAGCAGCATGCCAAATTTGGAATTAAGAGCTATTTTAAACTGAATAAGGTATACTTACCATTCCCAACGAGTTCCCTGTTATACATACGTAAATCCCTTGATCCTCTAGTGTAACGTTTACCAAGGTCAACGTAGATTCATCTTTATTAGTAACCACAAGTGCATTCTAAATTTTATTAATTTTTTTCTGATTATGTGGAAGAATTGTAAATGAAGAATACGAAACATAAATACGTTACATTATCTCCAAATTCTCGGCTGTCAAGCATTCTTTATTGAACTAAGGGCCGCATGCACTAACATGGCCGCGGGGAGGGGATCGCAGCTAAAAAGAAAGCTTCATATTTCGAAACTCCAGATACTTGGATTTCACGTTGTTTACCTATCCGTAAGTATTCCTACTATCCTTCACTATGAACATGTTGAACAGGAGCGAGAAGCTGTACAAACCGCATTTTCCAGCTTTTGTATGATCCCTGATGATCCCCGGCGCTTTTCTTTGGAGTCATTTTTCTTTCTCCGAAGTTAACGAAAACCTTTTAAAGTTGTACTGAACATCTAACACGACAGTGCTAAGCATGTTGCTGATGAGAACAGATGATGTTTTGAAGTCGTGAAATTTTCGATGGTCCACAGGTCGAAATTTGGGGTATACCGAAAAATTGGACTTTTCAAAAACTTATTTGTTCCCATCAGCAGCATGCTTAGCACTGTTGTATTAGTTGTTCAGTATAACTTTGGAAGGTTTTCGTTAACTTCGGAGAAAGAAAAATGATTTTGAAGAATAGATGTTCGTCCCCCAGGAATCGTCAGGGGATCCTACAAAAAGCTGGAAAATGCGGCTTGTACAGCTTCTCGCTTCTGCTCAATATGTTCATAGCGAAGGATGGTGGGAGTACTTACGGACAGGTAGACAGCGTGAAATCCAGATATCCGGAGCTTCAGTATATGAAGCTTTCTTCTCAAGCTGCGATCCCCTCCCCAGCGGAAATGTTAGTGCATGCGGCCCTAAGTGCAGCTTGCGCACACAAAGAATTTGCAGTTTCAGAGAAAATTAGGCTGGTACAAAAATAATGTCCGTTGTGCACGGTTTCTTCAAACTTCAAAAGCTATAACTTTGTCCAGTCTTCATATTTTTGAATTTAGTCAACACCATCGGAAGCAGTAAACCTTTCGTAACGTAGCACGCACTCGCTCATACTGCTATCACAAGCGTGAAGAAAACCATGGTCAAAAAAGTTTTTTTAATGAAAACCTCATTTTGAATTTTTGCAGTTCTCTTCAAGTTTCTTCGTACAGCTTATAGTCATCTTATTTCGTAGCCGCAAGCAAGTAGTATTGGTAAAAAAAGACTTCAATAAAGGAGCTTTGCTTAAAGAAGAGATAAAGATTTTAAATTGTTTTTTGAGCCTATTTGTGGTAGACCTCAAAGTCCCAAACTATGAAAATTTGGAAATCTTCGTGCACTAATTAGCCAACATTCTTCTGCAAAAACAGGCAAGATGTCCTGATCTTAAGCCCACAGTGAGCAAAACTTCGGCGACTGCCTTAATTATGACAAATTAGTCATAGAATGTCAGCAGAAAATATCTATTTCGGGGCATATTTCCCAATCCAGATTCTCGGAATCTACTCAGGAGTGCAATAAGTAAACACACAGTAACCTTTCAACAGGCTTGGCGGCTGGAAGGCGTGGCTTTGTGACCTAATTAAGGCCGCTCGCACCCGCAACGTATTTTGCGTCTCTCTCGCGCGGTGCTCTCTGATCATTACCTAGCCTTAATCAAATCACGAAGCCCCGCCTTTCGGCCACCAAGCCAGTTGAATCAAAGGGTAGCTACGCCTCCAAAAAAATCGTTCATCCTCGCCTGAAATGTGGCCAAAAAAGTGAAAGCAATGAAATCTCAGTTTTGAGTGCTGCTTTGCAAAATGCTGGCGAAATTGTTATAGATAAGTATAAAAGCCTAATGGCACCACTGTTAAAAAGTACATAAAGAAAGTTTTAAAATGATGTGCAGAATTCGTATCGAAAAAGAATGTTTGATGGAAAAAACTTGTTCGGAAAAGAGGCCTAGTAAAACGGACACTCTTTTTGCACTAACCAATATTATTTTAAGGGATACGGCTTAATTATTACCTCAATGTCAAGCGCAGCTGTATATTTGAACATGTACTCCTTGGCGGTTTCATTATAGTAATGCAGAGATCCATTGACGCGGTCAATTCGTGCCCAAAAAATGTACGGGGTCAAGTCGGAAACCACTCGACAATTGAAGACTGCAGTGCCATTCACGTTTACCTAAACAATAAATTAAAAGTTAATTGCAACATCTACGATTTTAGTGATTGAAGATCAAGCACCGTTTGGTTGACGAGAATATTTGGCACGATAATGGGCGGTCCACGCATACGATTTATAATCGTGACATTGAACGTTCTTCGAATCGTTCCTAGCGAGTTGAATACCTAAATGAAAAAAAGACCACAGTGTTTATTAAATCTATAACTAAATCCTCCACACCTCGCACATATACTTGCCCGAATCACTCTCTGCCGCATCTTCCATCTCGAGTGTGCCTCTTCGAATCTTGAAATCCGCACCTGTCATTCTTGGACTTGCTTCAGTGATTATTGCTCCGTTCTTGTGCCATACAACCTGAAACTCTCTTGAAGTGTTCGGGAGGAATGAATGAATTTTTGGCATTTTATCCAAAAATGGACTCACTCGTGGTTCTGGGTAACCTGCAGCACGACAGCTCAACTTGACAGTTCTTCCTGCGGGAGATGCCAGACTTCGCGATGTTTCATCACCATCTTTGAAAGTCGGCTTCACTGTAAGTTGTATTTTGGAATTACTGAGCTTCCGATGAAAACCAAAATCTTAGAACGATGTTGGAGCAACGGATCGGTCAGACAAAGATCCTTAAGATAAGTTAGAGTCTGCGATTATGGTCACTGTAATTTGAGGGTGATTCAATAGTAAACACTGGTTAAATATGATGGTTTTCCGTGATTCGGACCCATTTTCTCGAAGAATTATCATGAGATGCTAGTTTTAGTCTAGAAAAAAATTCCATACATTCTACAAGGATTTTCTGTGCGTCAGTGTCAGGAGAAAACTCAGCACGCTTTGGTTTGATCTGAAATGGTTTTTTCAAAATCATTTTCGGTGGGGAACAAGAGCTTTGAAGCTAATTCAAAAGCTATATAGCTCTTTTAATAAAAACAAAACAGGTCAAAACTAGAGCATTTAAATTTTTTTCAGCAGTCAAAAATATTTCTTTCAAACTGTTCCTGCCAATTCTGTTATGAAAAAATCCCGCTTGATTCGCCACCTAGCTGGAGGCCTTACTTATTTGAGCGAATCCAAAACGTTCATTGAAAATTTTAAAAAATTGATGACAATTTTATAATGTTAGGATTCACGCAAGGTCGTAATAAAAAGTTATTTCTTAGTGGAAAACAGAATGAAATAACTCGGTAGGAAAGCGACACAGAAGTCGTGGTTGAACTGTCAAACATTTAGATGACATGCCATCATATTTTACTCGTGACACGGTTGACACTTCCTCCAATGAAGTTGGATAAAATTGGTACACGAGAAAAAAAAAACGACGTTCTTTTCTGGAAATGGGTCCAGAGAATGGAATAGTACCTGAGTTATTGATATTCCCGCAGTCAATACCCAAACACTTGCATACTTGTCGCTTTCGGAAAGTTTTTGAATGTGGAAACATATGCCTCGCACGACTTACACCGCGCGCTACATCTTACTTATGAGTTTACACAGCCGAATGATGTACACATAAACGCACATGTCCTCGTTCACATCTAACCTACCGTAATCAGAATGATTTGCTTTTGTTCGGATGCTTTCCGAGTAGCAGAAATGACAGTTTGCCTTTAGACCAAAACAGAAGAGAAAAACATACCTTCCGGAGGAGGCGGCTCATAGCTGACTTCTTTTTCGATCACTCTTCGCTTGTAGGCAGGTAGTGTCTGCGTTGTGGATACGACATTTGCTGGACGACGTTGTTTTAGTTCGCGAAATTTCGATGTCGTACTCGCAGTTTCTCCTTCGTTAGGACCGTCTGCAAAACTTATTTAGTTGAATTGTGTAAGAGTCAATTTAAAGCAAGAAAAATAGTGGATAAGGTGTGCCTTAGTGTTGCTCACAGGCGAATGTAAGGGTGTCCCAAAAAATTGTGCCTACTGTTTGTTTGTCAATAACTCTCTTGTCATGAAGTCTTTGGAGAATTAGGTACCATTTTGTTGAACTGGCTTCAACTTAAATCTACAGTGTGAAGCGAATCATCAGTCGCTCTTCATTACTGTAGAATTACGGTAGGAACTTTAAAGAAGGTTTCGAGCTATGGAGGGCCATATTGGCTCAGAAAAGAAACCAGGCGACCTGAAAACTCTAATATAGAGTTAGTTAGAGCTCTAAATATTAGGTTGATTCATAATTAATGCACGTTTTCTATACTTGAACTTTCAACCGAAATAATTCTTTTTTGAAAAGTCATTTCTGGGTGCATTAAAAACTACTGTAAGCATCAAATCAGTTGCTACAAAAAAGATACTTTTGCTTGACTGTATTTATCATAAGAAGATTATCTGGCTTGAAGATTGTCAACAACTTTTTTCAGAAGCCTCTACATTTCAGAGAGCATAACTTATGTTGAAATAAAGTGGAAAAAAGCAGGCTTCGCTCATCGTGTAGCCGAGGGTCTTGAGCGGTAATGCCAAGCTTGGATTTTACGGAAAATTTTTGAAAGAAAATATCGCGAAAAAGTCGAAAGTACTCACTATTTTCTGGCATCTCGGCGGTTCAAAAATCGGTCATTTATGAAATTATTTCATATTTTTACGCTTGAAAGAGAGAAAACCCAAGCGATTTTCTACCATCAAATGAACTAGCTCTACCCTTGCTGGTTAATGCAAAAGACCTGCAATCGCCTTTTGCTTCAAAGTTTTATATGGCACGGAAGAGCCGAGACGATCATTCAAGTTCGCTCAGGATTCATGGAGAATTTTGTTCAAATAGCATCTTGTAGCATAGAGTTTCCTAATCCTTACGCATAATTTTTAAAATTATTCCGGCCATTCCTCATGGATTTAGGGCAAAAAGAGTGAAAAGCAAAAATTTTGCGATTTAGTCTCCTTTATTTGAAGGCTCAGAACTTTGAAATGAACGGAGATAAACGAAAGCGAAGGCCCGCATAAGAAACTAGAAAAAATGCTCTTTTAAATAGCGTAAAAAGTTTTTGAGGGAATTGACTACACATCAAATACCAACTCTTGGAAGAAAGAGTGAGAAAAACGTGCATTAATTATGAATCAACCTGATATGAATTTTGCGTTTCATCATAATGCTTTCTCACAAAGACGTGCCAGACAAGCAGTGGTAGCCATTGTTTCGCTATTTCTAAATGGGATTACACCATATAGAAAGCTGCCCATTATATACAAAGTTGAGTATTGAATACAGCGTCCACGAAAACCTTATCACATAATTTTTCAAATTTTCTTGGAACTTATTTGAAACGGCAGCTTTTTTACAGTGAGCCGTATTCTTATAGTAATGAAAAGCGATCTCTGTTTTACTCCATACCGTAAATCTAAGTTGAAGCCAGCTCTAGGAGATGGTGCCTAAAGCTTCTCGAAAACTTCATGCAAAGAGAGTTGCTGAAAATCAAACAATAAGCACATTTTTTGAGACACCCTGTACTATTAATGTTACACTGTCCTTAATTACAAGAACACCTGTGAAGTTTTGTAATGACAGTTTCTGATTTGCTCCTTAAATGCTTTGCACAATCCTTCCACTAGTTCTCAGGCTAGATCGTAACAAGTGCATTCCATTTGTATCATTTTCTTAACAGTACTTCGAGAATCGCATACTGATCTGCATACATGCTCCAAAACTATGTCAGATAATAGCAACTAGGAAAACCATTTCTGCAGCTGTAAGTTGACTACAGCTCGAGTTTATCTCCCTACAGCATATTTTAGTTAAAACTCACGATTTGCAAGCAATTTGAGCAAAACGGCATAAAGATTGAAGGAATAATCAATTTGATGTATCAAAAAATCCAAAGAAAACTGTAATTCTTTGTTTTGGAAAATTTGATTGTGTAAAAACAGAGTGTCAAGAAAAAACTTCGTAGCTTACATCTTTCTTTTTTGGAAACAAAATACTTTGCCCAAAATCATTCAGAGCTTAGTCTCTGAAGAGTCAGAGGGATTTATCGAGAGGCTGCGGCAGTAACATGCAAGAAAAACAAGAAAAGGCTCTCTTCCATCCTTCTCCTCCCCCCTCCCCCAACTTTTTTTACTAGTACCACTAGTAATCAGTTTCACATTCCCCATTAGATGATGCAGGCAATGCGGTGTAACCGGGATATATCATAGATTCGAATATCGCAGAAGGCAATGCAGAATTAAAAACTCATGAAAAGATTATGTAACTCGATTTTTGGGCTCCGTAATATGCGTTTTTCAGTACTCATTATTAGAAGGTATAAAAAATTGGATAGAAGTAGTGATCCCTTTGGCCATCATACATTTTTATATTCGTTCTTCGCGAGCAAAAGGAAAAATCGGTAGCGACGTGCGCATCTGACGATGGCATTTCCGGCAGACTTTGAAGATTAGATTGCACGTTACACTTTTTCTTTCAAATCGCTCTCGTTGTAATTGATATCGTTCAACACTGTCATACAAAACATCAGCGTGGTTAGACTAAACAGTAAGTTGTTAAACAGACTCCTTTTCTCATTTGCAGTTCATTAGATCGAAAAAAAAAACACCTCTGCACTGAGGCTGGAAAAAGTTGTTCACTGTTTCCAGAATATGCAGCTAAATTCCTGTTGATGATGTTTTGTTTCAGAAATTGATGAAAAAACCTGTGCATCAAACCTCATTGACAGACAACGAAAACAGATTTGAGGTCAGCGTTTAGGTTTCTATGACATATGTATCGCATTTCAAATCACTAATTGGCTAAGAGAAAATAACAATGATATATAGAAGAAAGATGAAACTTTTTTACTAGAACTTTCACATGAAAAGTAACGTGAAAGTGATTAAGACGAAAGCTTCTTGTGCCTTTTAGTGGCAAGTTTTATGGGCTAAGATCTTATGGTTACGCATCTTGATGTAGATACATTCGAGTTAATTTTCCGCTCAATATATTGTGCTTGCGCTGCAGGTGAAATATGGCAAGATTTGTGCGTGAACAAACAGCTGCAGCTATGGCGCCGGCCAATTGCGCGCGCAAAATGCCGGCATTAGTAGCGATGCTATGCATTCACGCGCAAATTTTACGCATTTCACCTGCAATGCGAGCACACTATATTAAGCGAAAAATCTAGAACTGTACTCTGGTGAGATTTCTTTCCCGTGGAGCCATAATGAAACTTTTGCGCCTACCAACAGCATTTTCAGAGTAGGACTGAACGATACGTCGTGCACGTTCGATTTTCTTCTCAAGACTAAGAGAATTCCAGTCCGAGAGCGTTTCATTGATTCGAGTCATTCGATGAAATGGCTTGAGGTTTGGAAGTAAGTATGCCACGTTTACGAAGTTGCGTTCAGTCACAAAGTCGAACAGCTTCACTGGATCTAAAAGAAGGCCGAAGTTATGCATAGTCGTACCTTTGACTAAAGTTGCATGCACATGCGCAGACGATCGCAAAGTCACACTGGTAGAGATGTTGGCCGAGTTCGTCGTTGCCGAGTTCAGCGACGGCCTTGTCGACGCAGACGTCGTCGTCTTTATGGGTATACCGAACATATCACATGGAGGATCAAGGCATGCAAGTTCTTTTCGGGATTTCCGAGCACGTTTCTCTATTCGCGATGCGTACTTATTGCAAGTTGCGGTCGTTGCAATCGAGTAGTCGATGTCATGGCGCTCCTTATCGTTGGTGATCTGCCACAGACAAATGCACTCCATAGGTATTGACGCCGGAGGCAACGCGAACGCAGCACCAGAGCGCATGGCGAAGTAGTCGCAGAAGTCTGTAATTGCACACCATGCACCATGCGATGAGCAGAGCACTGCACACACAGAGGTATAGAAAGAGGTAGGTAGAGTGCGGAGAAGAGGATAGGGAAAACAACATATTAGGTTGTTAAGAAAGTTCTCAGACGCTTGCTTTCGACAAAATTTTGAAGCATTTCTAATGAAAAAGGGACTGTGGAACTTTGACGGGGATATCAAATAAGTGTTTCCTTTTATCGAAGTACTTCACAGCAAAAATTGAAGGCGGATCCAACAATCAAAATCACATTTACAATAATCATGCCTCTTCTATGTACATGCTTATATGCTTGCATCAGTGGCGAACCGAGGGGGGGGGGGGGGGGAAGGGGGAAGTCGCAAGACTTTTGGAATTTGCTTACATGGGTTGTAGAAATGTTCAAGTATTTACAAGTATGATATGAACAAGTCCCTCACTTTTTTAACTCATACAAGTAACTTTCAAAAAAGACCTATTCTCCCCCCCCCCCCCTGCACATTTTCCATCTGTATGAAAATGGTATTTACAATTATTTATTTACAAAGCATGCAGACTTACGAAGATAATTACATGTACTTTTCGAGTGTATCAGTTCCCGGAAAATCTACTTGTTTACATGCAAACGCTTCAGAACTTTCTTAACAACTTAATAGGCAGAATACTAGAAGAACATGCTCAGGTTAACATGCTAGCATCACTCACCTATGATCTCAACCGTAAAGTTACGGTCGACCTTTCCCAAGTGATTGCTTACTTTACATGTCCATAAACCCTGCAAAGAACAGCTTGTCAAATTGTCGAGAAAAAAAGAAATCAAGCTTACTTGATCGGAAACTTCTACAGCTTTGATGTCAAGCGTCATATGCTTCTTATTCTCTCGAAATCGATGGCCAAAAGCATCTTTATTGAGAAGCTCACCATTGCGATACCATTTAACTTCCAGGGGAGATTTGGACATAGCTAGGCATGTCAATCTCACCTAAATTTAGATAAGGGGTACAGGACTACAGTAAACTCGGTCCTAAATTAAAAATCGAAATCTCATTTTAATGCATTAGTGAAATCCGCAGCCACTATATGAATCATTTCAAGCTTGAGGAATTTTTAAGCTCCTACACCGCCTAGTTAGCTATAAGGGTGGTCCATAAAAAATTTATTTGTATTTGTGCTTCTAACAATGTTCAAGCAAAAATCACGTGCTTTTCCATAATGTGCGAAAAATTCATATTGGCTTATCGCATTGACATAAGCTGATCAAAAGAAGCATTTGAATCGTAATTCAATTTTAATTTCTAAAACTGCCAGAAAGTCAATTTGTTATTTTCATTATCAATACTTACTCATTTTGATTGCAAAAATACGTGGTGATTGGATGTTTCTCTAATAGTTGAGTTTACGTTTTTTAACTTTACACTTTGATTTTGTTCCGAGTAAAATTTCTAAGATGCGGTTGAATAGACCACTTGTTGTAGCATTCAAAAATATGCAAAATGTAATGAAACATTGTTTAAAATATTTCGAAGTGTATCTTCAGCATTTTTGAGGCAAAGATTATGGACAAATCTGATAATTTGTAATGCAAAGCATTGCTCCTTCTCCTTTGTAATCAAGACCACCGCACAAGTTTGGATTGACCAAATCACTGGCTCAAATTATCATCTCCGCTATGAGAACAAAAGGTTGTTCTTTCGAGAATTTTCTTGGAATTTTCCTTGCAAAGAAGTCTCGCTTAAGTGAGATTGCGCGACAGCATAGCAGCAACAGAGAACTGGCTGCGAACGCAGTGATGTTGATATGATTGATGATGGACACCAGAAACGAGGGGAATGCGAATTCGCAACTGCATGCCCTTCCCTAGTCATGTGAAAAGTGAATAAGACGTGTAACAAACCTTATCGCCGAGAAATACTTCGTGGTTAAGACGCTCAAACGTTTTGAAACGAGGAATACCATCTGAAAAGTATGATTATTGGAGATTCATGCATTTGCGAATGTCATTTGCGTCAATACTTAATTATATCCACATTCTGATTACTATGACTTTGACCAATAGGCTCACAATACATTCTCGCCAAATGAAATATAGGTTGTTACATAAGTTTTGTTACACTCAACGAAAAAGATCTTTATAACTTCCCATTTTGAAATTACATGGAATATTGTCAATTTTCGATATATAATTAGGTTGTAACAGAATTAATGCAGGGTTTTCAAACCTCTTTTTCGAAATGCTGGTTCACAAAAAAATTACAGTGTCTCAAAAAACTGTATATACCATCTGAAAGCACTTTTCTTATACTTTTTAGGCATGCTTTTGTTTCAAGAGGAGAAGACTCGTTGAGTTGGAAAGTTGGAAAGCTTGCATTTATCCTGTTACAACCTAATACATGTCAAAAAGAAAAAACAATTTTTTATTTTGTGAAATTCTATTCAGTTATTTTTTGCGAATTCCAGTTTGCGTTTTTGAAAAGCTCAAAATTTCCAACTGTTTTTGTGTTATTACTGATGTTCCCGAGTTCATAGAAATTCTAAAAAACATAAAAAAGAAAAGGGAGAAAAATCCAGAAAAATTAAGAAAAATGCAGGTTGAAGTGCCATTAAAGAATTGCGTTTACGTTCACAGTAACTCATGTCCGTAAAATCAAAAATGGTACAAATGAGGAGCCGCTCGTTCCTCCCCAATAAATGGCAAAAATGAAACTTTGCCGAGTTTTCTAGAGTTTTTCAGAGGAAGAGGAAGAGAGTGTAAGTAAACCAATGTAACAACCAAGTATATATTGCACAGTCGAGCATTATCGTAACATCATACTCAAACTGGGCGTGACTAAGTATCAAATGTTAAAATTCTAGAACCGCTTTGTTGTGAACACTACTTGAGCTTCGTCTCAGTGAGGAGGACATCGTATGCCAATCAGGTTTTTTTTTGCACGATCATTTTTCTATAAAATATCTTTCACAGTACCTCTTGAGTAATACTGATCCAAGCCGACTACTAACGTTAGTAACGGCGTGAAAAGCAGTAACAAAACTATCATTACTATCGACCATCGACGAATCCCATCGCCTGCAAAAAAATGAAAAAGAAAATTCGAATTAAAACAGGGAAATACCCGACTAATCATTGCACATACCGTGCTGATGCGTTTTTGTGTTACACAAGACAATTGCATGCGTCAATTCAAGGTCAAAATGGTGAACTGATAAACTCCATCAACGCGATTTTCGCTCTGTTATGCAAATTGCCAGAAATTGGAGTTTATGGATGTAAAACAGAAGCAGAGCTATAATGAGCGTGTTATATGAGGAATGAGGTAATCGTAAGGGAAACTTGAACATTAATTTGCCACGTGCCATTTAGCGGAAAAAATTTCAACGATGTGTAGGATGCCTAACGCAAGCCATTTTCATAAGGTAACGTAGCAGTTCAAAGCTAAAAGGTGCAGTTTTTCCTGCATTGTCAAAGAAATAGTTGTAAATGGTAGAATGAAAAGAAAGCAATAAGAAGCACACAGTAATGACATTCAAAACAAGTACAGTAAGCACTTAGCGATGATCTACAAATAAGTGAAAGTGTAAGCATCGACAATGAAAGCTGAATAGGCACCAAAATTTGTCCGTTCCTTTTGCTATAGAACGATAGAAAAGGTAAAATTGGACAATACTATTGCATCCAAAATGTGAAACGTAACCTATATAACGACGTGGTAGTTCAACAAGCAATTTTGCTATAGTTACTTCTTGGAAGCCAAGTGGTGTCTGGTTTCGTTTAAGTAATCCAATTTTGAGAATATTCAAACAGCTCTCAATAAACGATACTAAGTGTAAAGGTTAGCATAAACATTATTTGGCTCAAATAAACTCTATCAAGGTGAAATTTTGAAAAAAAATCCTACGGTATGAATAACAGCTTAAAAGGAGATCTAATCAGTGTTTTCCAACTCTATAATTCGGACTCACGACTTGTCATAAACTCAGCAAAGTACGATTTGGATCTGAGTGATTTCACAAAATTTAGTCTAGCACTGAGAAGAGAACTAGTGACGTCTTAGCCCTGCTCAAAACTACATTCTTGTATCTACACACGCCACACTCAGAACGACAATTTACAGTAAAAGGACGTGAAAGTTCAATCAATTAAATTTTCACGTGTACCAGCTGAGGGCGTGTCTAATATTCTGAATTCCTGACTTCGCGCTTATCTTGAATTTCTAGAAAAATTCGTTAATTAAGCTTAATAATTTGTTTTATCAGGGTCAGTTGTTATGCAAATAATCTTGCAAAAGTATTCTAGAATTTTGTATACGGCATGTAATAGCAGAAATAGTATTATATACTCCCCGTCAGCCAGGATCAAGAATTCGCTGAAAAATCACGAAATATCGAACGTCTGACGGCATGAACAATTTTGAATGAAATAATATACATTGAAGGGTACGACAAGATGGAAGACTCGTGAAACAGTGTTTCAACAGTTGTAAATCTTGTGAGCTGCTGATTTGACGGTGACGTGCGACACCCTTAGCTCTCAGCTGCGATAAATGGCAACATTTGGAGGACGTTTGGAAACGCTACGCTAGTTGAGTTATTGGAGAAAAGCTTAGGACAAAAACTCAGCAAAAAATCGTTGATGAGAAGAAAGGAAAAGAGGCAGGAAGTTTTACCACTGATTTGGCAAGAATATCCACGGCAGATGGTAATACCAATCGGGCAAAGTTTGATATTAATGATAATCAATCAATAGTAATAAACTGGATCGATATTCTTGGTAGTAGGTACAGACGGAACGAGTCTAAAACAGGTCGCGCGAATCACGCTCGCGGCTCTGTTGCGCTTTCCGCGTCTGCGCGTTCACTCTCTCGATTCGTTTTTATTTCTCTTTCCACTGTTAACCCCGCCCGTTTGGAAGTTAGAAACACTGATAATAACGAAATACCTAGTGTATTTCAACTCCTCCATGGACGTTTACCTCGTTCTGACTCATCAGTGCTGCGATACCGTATTCAACAAAAATCGCTGACGTTCCCCAAGCACAAACCAGTCTCAGGACGCAGCCAACCTTATGGACTTTTCGACGTTGTAGCATTAGCTAAGCAACTCCATTACAAGTAAAATTAAAAGCGCAAATATTTCTTTCCTACAAATATCATCGCCACGTCAAAAACTTTATTTCACACTAGATCTCTGCCCCTTATTTAACACCTTCCCAATTTGGCAGCTCGCCAACTTGATACCATCATACACGTAAATCACATAGTCGCATGCGGCGGTCATTTGTCGCTCCAGTTTTCCTTTTAAAACGGTCTGAGTCTTACTTAGTGTATCGTCATCAACGTTACTGTTTTTCTTGTCTTAAAGTGTTAGTGCTGTCGTTCTGATGTCATCAATATGCTGGAAGTTCTCTTATCTCTAAATTACGTTACCAGGAGTAGATGTTCATAGACTCATATCACTGACAAAAGGTACTCGAGCCATTTTTTTTCGTTTGAAGTAGGGAATACTTCTATCGTAGCGGTTTGAGTACATTTGTAGAACATGGGCGAAGTTTCTGATTTTTTAAATAAGTGCTCAAAACGAAATGAAAGCGAAGATGAAAGCGGTGTAAGTGAAAAAGGTCGAGGTCAGGACCTAGAAACAAACTATCAAATCTTGCCAAAATGAACTATACAACAACAAACAATCAAAAACAATGAGTAATAGAAAGAAATTAAAAAGTATACACTGATGTCATTGATCTAACAATAAGTGTAAAGCAGATTTTTTGTACTTTACGTTGATTTTTAAGGAATAAAGTGATTTGCAAAATATTCGACTTAGAAGAAAAGACAATGCGCCTTGCAAAGGCATTTCGCAATTTAGCTTGGCATTATAGGTATTAAGCATAATGAGTATACTAATAGTATTCAGTAGGCACGTTAATGGCAAGCCACCACATCCATCAGCTCTCCCTCACAAAATCAGGTTGGGTTAAGATCAAACCCGCACTCAGATAAGCTGAAAATTGCGCTTTACCGAAGTGCCGAATTGGAGTACTGTAATCGTTGAGGTTTAGCTCCTTCAGAACCAAGAAGAAGTATTATCTACTAAAAAGCGAGCCCACTAAGTGAGCTATTAGCTACCAGCTAGATTACCGACTTACACAGATCTTTTACTGCGGTTAGTATAGTTAATTGCGCCAATCCCCGAAAAAGCGACTGCTGGTCGTGGTTGGAAAAGGTTAGGCAAGTGGATTTCCCAGTACGCAAGTGTAAACAGCCTTTGAATTTCGATCTTCACAAGTTTAGCCTAATTTATTGGATTTAGAAGAATGTGAGCAAAATAGTCTGTTAGCTTGACTTTATCTGACCAAATGCGAAAGTTACGATGCTACAAAATTTTCAGGATAGGACGTAGAATATCGTCCACAACAGAAGTCAGAGGAACACCGTTGCAGAGTTTAATCGGACAGATACTAGCTATTAGAACGCAGACCGCCAGCCGTCTCAGATTTCCGCTAATCTCGCCGCAGATCTTACCGCCACCGCAGTGTCGTCCGGAAGAGCGCGGAGTGAAGATTCAATTACTACATTTGGTATGTCAAGCTAAAAGATGCAGAGATGACATTGTGAGTATAATAAGTAGAACAGTTTGACCTATTCGCCTAGTAATCCCCCCCCCCCCCGCTTTTCCCCCGGGAAAGTATTTGAAAACTTGAAAGCTCTAAAACGACATTTCCAGGTTCGACTGATTTGAAAGACCTGAAGCGATGCACTCACTGAATCCAACGATATCAAATAACCTAACAGAAAACTCTCATAGAGACTGCTCTGGTTTTTGAAAATATAAATATTATTTAGTATTTGTGCGTTGGTGGAAAGAATTAACGCGAGTATCATTGTTTTCGAGAGTAAAGAAAATAGGAAGGAGATGCAGCACATTGCACGATCGTTTATAAGTTTCCATCTGCTCTTCTCAGTCATATCAATCAAATTTATATAAACATTCTCGAGAAGAACTGGCTGGGAACAGAACCAATTCACTCGGACATTGTGGTAATTTTTAAAAGCAAAGTGGCCAAGGATTAGTTTGAGTTGAAGCGATATGAAAAGTGCATAAAGTTGTGATAATAAACTTGAAGACAAAATTGCATAAAGTTGTTACAAAGTTTCACTACACTTGACAAAAAAATCCCAACTTTCCCAGAATTTTTCACGTTTCCAAATGGTGGACGCTTGTGGAGTTTCTACCTATAGTTGTCACACATGAAAAAACCAATTTTTGTTTGAAATTCTTCCGGATTATTCTTGCCAGATTTCCAGCTTGGGTATTTAAATTGCTTGGCTTTCTAAACTGTTACGTATTACTACAGGTTGTTTTGGAAATCTATAAAAAATCTACAAAGATGAAAAAGAAAAAAGAAAATTTTTTTCAAACCATGAAAACTGAAGATTGTTGCCGTAAGAGAGGAATAATGTTTCATCGCTTCTCTGTATATACCAAATGTGAGACTTTACCGGATTTCCTAGAGTTTTCCAAAGGAAGACGAAGCAAGTGTAACAAAGCTTACGAAGCAACCCAGTACCATCATTATAAACCAGAAGATTGATTTACTATATGATAGACACAAGTTGGATCAGAAAATTCTTTTAGATGAGGAAACATCTGGGAATGTACTACTCTGATACACCGGAATTCGCTACAAGCTGAAGATGCGCTACTACACCATACATGAGTCTTAACGCACTCGCTTGCACTAGGATCCGGCCCAAACGGTTTTTGACGTGATCGAAACCGGTGGCGCAGGTTGGCAAAGCGATGCAACGACTTGCAATGAGGCAAATGAGGTTGAGTTCGAGCAGCGCATTGGCAACTGAGACATCGCCGGCAGCAGAATCATGAACACGAGCAGCTGAACAGTACGAAGGTAGCACGTGAAGGCAAGACGCTCCCGTATGTGTTTGCCGTGGGCGCATATGTCTAATAATAACGGAATACAAATGTGAGACATGTGGCCGAGGCCGGAAGCCACGCATATGGAGCGAAAAACTCGCAGACGCTATATAGCGAGCGACCGAACTGTGGCACAAAGCGACGGCTCCGCTGTCACTGCGTCCAGCCGACCGAAGCCGTCGACGGCACTCGCAACGAGCTGCTTGCTGCGACAAATTAGTTGCCGTCTCCCTGACAAATCGCTGCTTTGGGTTTGAATTCAAGGCGCGAGTTCACTTTTAAGAAGTCCTGTTGTTTTTACGGGGAACACCAACGGAGCAACAGACTATTAAGGTGTCCCATAATTTTTTACCGTTTTTAATGCAACCGTCGTCTGTCTATGTCTTTCCTTTGATTGATGTGGCTCGAGTACTTATTCGACAGTGCAAAGCAAGCTCTACAACATGGCGATCAAGAGTGGTGGAAATACGATTCAGCACGAATCGTATTTCCACCAAGTTCTGAGCTGGAATCTGATAGCAGTCAAAAACGATTTTTTCGGATAAAAAATCGTATCCCCACCCCGAAGAATTTTGAAAATTCCTCACTTATCCTAGCATATACTTGACACATGGAACATTCAGTTGTACAATTCCCGTATTTTTTCCATGGCTAGAAATAAAGAAAAAATGGATGGGATAGAAATGCAAACCCCGCCCCTACATGCCCTGCACTCCTCCCAGCATGTGATCATATAGCTCATACCAGTGGCGGTCCCAGGATCTCGAAAAAAATTTTTTCACAAGCTATTTTGAATTTTCAAAAAAATTTTGAAAATTATCTTAGTTATTTACAAGTATATACAAATCACTTGCACAATTTTATGACCCATATAAGTAACTTTCAAAAATTTCTACAGATTCTCGGGGGGGGGGGGGGGGAGGGGGAGGGCCCTCGGGCTGCCACTGGCTCATACATACAGAAGTCCAACAATGTGTTTGTAAACTTTGTAGGTGCATTTCTCGAAAAACGCTAATGTTTCAGGTAAAAAAGGTAAAAAATTATGGGGTACACTAATAGATAATTTTTGGTTTTATGTGCCGTGCGGTTTGTTAAGGTAATATCGTTGATTGGCTTGCCTAACATTTAGACGGCTTCATCGTTCTCAGAGGCCTAAAATGGACAAAGTTTTAATGCAATACCAGACCACCAAATTGAATGTTACTTTGAAATAAAGAAATAGATAAATAAGTACCTCCTCTAACTAAGCTATTTTCGATTTTTCCTCCAATCGGTTAGCAGAAGTTCTTGACAGAGATACCCACCCCTGCGACATACTCGACAAATGCTTCAAGATGAATTTTTGCATTGCTCTAAGCTATATTTACAAGATCGGATATCTTTCGTGCAAGACCATACCATGGCGTAGCTTCTGCTCCAAACGTGCTATACATTTGCCTTTACAGCGTGAAGCAAGATCTGGAGTTTGCTGCTAGTTCACAACTATAATCTCCATATTTTCTCTTCCTTCAGTTACCTCCTTGATTTGTTTTCTCCCTTTAAAAAATACTATTTTGTAAATTCATCTGTCAAAATTCAACTTTTACAAATCTTGCTGATGCGTTGTTTCTACTGCAATATCCACATCAAGCAAATTCATCAAGCACAATCCATGCAAACTCCACACAGCGTATCCAAGTATAGGCGATTCATAGCAAGCAAAGACTGCGGACGTATCGGCGTCTCTCTGATCCAGCTCTTTTTCATTTCTCTTACCATCTGCTGTCCCCCCCCCCCCCATGCACGAACTATCTTGGTCGGACGCAGCGGCGCCCAGTCTTTGCGTATCATGAATCGAGGACGTAATGACTTTGTACATCGATTGTTCAAGGCAGGAGATCTACCATTCCAAGGTGTGAAGCACAAGTATAACACGAAACCCCGTTCCTTCCGACCTGAAATCTTTTTGCTTCCGCAACAGGTGTGACCAGCAGGGATTTAATAGGAGTGACGTACGTACCTTTTCTTAGTAGAGTCAAAATAGTAAGTAGGATAAAATCAATGTGAACTCTTCTTCTTCACCTTAGTAGGCACAAGAGAACTTACAGTTAGCTCAGATTGGTACGTGCCATTGAGGGGTCGCGTTGTGTGTTTCTCATAGCACGAAGGCATACAAAATTCGAGTGATGAAAACAAGATTTATACCCAAACTTTGGCTTCCTAATGTACAGTTCATGACGGGGACAGTCTTCCTCCGTTTCTGCGAGTATGACAGTATCGAATATCTGGCCCTTGTAGTATGTTTGCATTAGGCATGATATGGGAGCAGAGACCGAAAGTCCTTTCTTGAATACATCTGAATCCGCTTCCGATTAAAAATAGATTCTAAAGTTGAAGCTGCACGCGGCAACTTTGATATTTTGCTACCTCTTCCTGAAAAAAGCACCTAGAATAATCACTGGTTGCTGTAGGAATTAAGAAGAATAATTATGATCATCATATATATAAAGCTGAATGTCTGTTTGTCTGTATGTCTGTCTGTACGTATGTTCCGAATAGAAAATTCCATTTCTGAACCGATCCGGACCAAACTTGGCACGCATACACTTCGGGGCGGGGCGGGTGTCATAGGCTCTTTTTCGTCATCGATCGATAGATTTGTCGATTTTTTTTTTGCAAAGTTTAAGCTACGGGGCTGGGAGTTGGCACAGGGAGTAATCGAGCTTACTGATTACTAACACAGCGGGAGGCAATTGGCATGTAGAAGTGGGCACAGGGGAAGGTTGTACACGGATAGGGAAGGCTTTGTCATAGTGTTTTAGAAGACCAGGCGGAGCCGGCAGAGCCAGCTAGTTACATATAAAAAGCAGCAGATCAAGCTGTATAAGGCACGCTGAGTCGCTAGAAATTTCTCAGATGTTTGGAGCTTACGCTTTATTGCAAACTGGAAAATTATTTTGTACTAAGGGTGACCCACTGAAGCCTGTAGAAACTCGTGTAGAAAGTCCGGATGGGAAATTCTCAAGTTTTCACGGAACAGCATCAACAAGTACTGTCTGAAATGACACTATGAGTGCAGTAGTTTCTGTCCAAGAAATCTTCTATATACAAAGGGAGAGGAAGGCGATAGCTCTCCAGAAAAATTGCAGGATGCTTTCCGAATTTTTGCGAGCTTAACGCCAATTCAATTCAAGAGGCGAAGCGTACACTGATTTAATATAAGTTTTGGAGTTTACGCGCAATGTTAGTGCTCAGGTTCGTAAAATTTGCGACTGCGTCGGCTATATGAAGGTACATATGTGCACATAAAACATGCTCTCTGCTTACCCAGTATCGCTGATGAATGTGAGGAAAATTGTTCCCAATTGTGAGCTCAATCATCTTTCCTCTAAACTTACGTGAATCAGCTCGACAAACTTAGTGACAGTTGCTCCCAACTATCCTAAGCACATTGTGTGCAATGACAATAAAACTTGCGTCTTCTGAAATTCATTCAATAACTTTGAAGACTGATTTGGTATCCTTTGCCCAATCTTACGCTTGACATAGGTGCATTGGTCAACGATGCCAACATACATCTCGTCTATACCTTCTCTGCGTGCATCGGCATATTAACATTTGGCTTAGTTTCGCTGAGTTCTGCCGTGAGTATAAAAACGAAAGGGGTTGAGGGACAAAGCTAGAGATAACGCTTATGTGGAATATGAGATCAGAACAGTTTTCATGCAATTCTCATTCTTGGGAATCACTTTAACAATGAAGAAGTTGGCGAAAATGATTTTTCATTTTTGTTTGGCGGAGATGGCTTTTTCTCAGTACACGATACCTTGATCGAGCATATTTTTCTGCCCAACTTTGCTCTG